CGGCAAACGTTATATGAACGATACCGAAAAATTAATTGTTATAGAGTGAACTAACATCCAAAAAATTACGAATAGCGCTAGAAGAAAGATATACATATGTACTACTGGATTCAGTTCTGGTTTTAATATGAGTATAAAATTCAAAAATTTTATAAAGAGCAGATACTAAAAATGTGATAAATTAGAGAAAAATAGTTAAACAGACGGAAAAATAGTTAAACAGTTGTTAGCAAATAACATTTAAATATACAGCAGAAAAATGCCGAGTCTAGCGTCTATACTGATAGAAACGATAGTAAACAATTAAAATTTTTTCATTAGAATTCGTCAGCTAAAGAGCCAACATCCAAAAATAAATAAAAGCAGAACTGGGTAGTCGTTATGATCCAAACTTTGCCTAGATACTTATAACAAAATATAAAAAATAAAAACTATTAAGCATGTCTTAATTTGATTTACCTTAAATGAATGAATTATAATATTTTTCGTACACAAAAATTAACAAAATAAATTAAAATGATAAAGTCGGATCTGATTTTAAGATAACACTTTGTGTTAAACTATCAAAGCATATCTATCGCAAAGCAAAGACTATCGGTAGTACCGAACTGTGCCAAACACTAAGACTAACCGTGTTTGTTAGTAAAATAAAGTCCCTACACTCACTTCCCACCAACTTTAAAATCTTAGATTGTGATGTCTCTAATATCGGGATATAAATATAATCTGACACAACGGAAGCTGAACTTAAGTGTTATTATATCAATTGTTTATTAGAGTTAAATCTAACATCCAAAAAAACCGAAAAGGCGTCGCGGTACCCGATTATAAATAAATCTTTGCCTAGATACTTAAAACAAAATATATTGAATAAAAATTATTAAGTGCGCTAAAAGGGTGAACTTCCCGTCTAGAAAATGACATTTTCCACATTAAATATGACAAAATAATAAGTCGAACCTCATGTCTAGCTACCACCTTCGGGTCAGAAAATGGCGTACATTATGAGTTGTATCTTAACTATAGGGTATCGCCTAAAAAGGAATTGCTTAGATGACCGTCCCTGCGGCCAACCAAATTTAAGAAGCTCTTAAAATGAGTTGTCTCTTAAATTAAGGTGTTTTCCCTCTTAAATTAAGGTGTCTCCTTTATCGGGAGTATCTAAAAAGGAGGCTCGACCTTATCTCCATATAAAAATACCCACCCATTTAAATAGGCAACAATAGCAGAATTGCTTCTCTGTGCAGGATAAACCCCACTACTTGTATTTGTCATTTTTCCACTTGAAAAGATTGGAGGTGTTCCTGTAGAATTATTATTAGTAGCAGATTGCATTGCAGCATACGCACCCAAACTAGCGGCACTGCAAGAAGTTGTTAATATTGTACGTTGTTTTGAATCTGGCCCTGTTTAAATTTAAAATTAAGGTTGATAGAAAAATTTTTCTGTAGTTGCAAGTCTTGTTTCTTTTCTGACTCCCCAGATGCCAGTCAATAGCTTTAATTAATTTGTCAGATGAAATAGCTGACATCCAAAAAATGTAGGAACAAGAGCAAACAAGAAAACATGGAGTGTTTATTGGCAATAAGGTAAATTTAGCTTAACAACTTTAAATAAAAAATAAGGAGAAGAATCAGGATCTGTTTGATTTAATATGAAAACACCATTGATAATTTAGGTAACGAAAGTTTCGGCAAAATTTATAAGAGGAACAGACAAAGGAGTTGGGGCTGGAACAGACGGAGTTCACTGACTAATCCTTTATCGATATTTTAGCTGCAAGAATTTCTAAAGGAGTTACCCTATCTTTTCAAGGCAATCTTAAACCTTATATTTTATTTAATTTTTAATTCTATTTAAATTAGCTTTTTTTATTTGTTTTGTACCTCTTCTACTTCTTCGATACATCGAATTTTTTGAATGTGGGCCGTTGAGCGACAAAAAGTATTCTTATCTATGTCCTCAATCAAATTTGAAATTTCTTTTAATGAATTCTAAACTTGTTTTCAACAGATATCATTTACTCCGTATTTTCAACTTTATTTTTAAGGAATTTTAAGGTCGATACTCATATGACGCTAATAGGTTTCTGGCGACAGTTATTTTTATTTTTTGGATGTTAGACTTTGTTCTGGCAAATTAATTTTTATTCTATCATAGTCTTTATAAGGCTGATTCATAAGGCTACCCGTGCAGTGTATATCGCAACCATTTAAATATAACTTTCAAACTGGGATATTGCTGATATTTGTTTAAAAAATTCAGGAATTACCTGCTGAAGCAATATCTTGAACGATTCTTAAAGCCTGCTCATTTGCATTGATCAACGCCTTCAACTGAGTTGGATTTTCATTGTGGATCTAAAAAATTGATTGAAATTGAGGAATTAAACTTTTAATTTTCTCTCAATTAGGCTCCCATTAATTTAACGGATACCCACAGTATACGACATAATTATTTAAAGCCGTCTAAAATCGTGGTTTTAAAATCAATATTTTTCTTGTAAAATTTTTTGGGTTCTTTTGCCGTTTGTCTTGACTGCCCTTGATTATTCGTGCCTATTTGTTATTCATTTATTCACTATTGTGATAAACGTGTTATCCGATGTCCTAGGCAAGTCCACCCTATTGGAATCGTATAGTAAAGACCAACTTTAATTTATTAAATTTAAAAACTCACAAAATGGCAGCGAGGCCCATATGGACAATAACCTAAATATATTAAAATATTATTTTTCAAAGAAATTTTTGTCTTTAAATCAGTAAAGACAAGTAATGTTAATTTAAAAATTTTTTTTTAATTTACCCGTTTTGTGATAAGACTGGCATGGCTCTGTTTTGTACTTTGGATGTCTTGGAACTGGCCGTTTTTCTCTGTCTCCATGGGCATATTGACACCTTTAAAATTAATTAAATATGAAATGAAAGCTTTAAGAATGAACGCTTAATCAGAAAGGAAATTAATTTTTTGTCAAAGCAAAGCAATGACAGTCAAAAATAACATTGCAACAGTTCGGCATGGTATTATGATATTTTCAAAGATTAACTAAAATAAAATTTAAAACAAAATAAAATATACTATGTAAATAAACGATTTATTAAAATCTTTTCACTAAATTTTTATTCTCTAAACGTTGAGAAGCTGGAAGGAAAGAAAATAGTTAAAACAAATTTAAGTTTCCACCCTTTATCAATTTACAAATTGACATCCAAAAATATACACACCTTCTCCGAACAACAAGCTGAATACATAAATTTAAATTTCAAGGCTTTTTTAAATTTAAAATATAATAAAATTAATAAGTTGTAGATAAACTTTATTAAATTTTAGGCCCGGTACACTTCAACTGAGAAAACATTGTTAAGTATTGACTTGTGGTATCCGCTATTTTACCCACTACATATCCTTGTCAATTTACAAATTGACATCCAAAAATTAATCACAACTCCGCACCGTCAACCCTAACTTGAATTTCAAGACTTTTTTTAAAATTTAAAATAAAATAATATTAATAACTTGTAGATAGGCTTTAATCAAGTAGGGACACGCCCAAGTAGGCGCGCGGCCATGTAGGCGCAAAGTCATAACTACCTGGAACTTTTCTGGACCTTAACATTTTTGGTACCATTCTCTTTAGCTCGATGAGAAGAATCGTTTAATACTAAATTTGGTAAGATTAGGAAAACTTGAAGCAAGTTATGGCTTTGCGCCTACATGGCCGCGCGCCTACTTGGGCTGTACCCATCAAGTATGTGGCTGTAGTGTATTGTACCGGTGGTAAAAGTTTGGGACGTGACATATGTCATTTGATTTGTCTCGGCGAACTGATTACCCTTACTACTTTAGGAAATGATTCTTGACCGAGTTATGGGTCCCCCTTGTAACTCGGTACAGAACCATTTCCTAAAGTAGGAAGTGGAATAGCTCGTTGAGACAAATCGAATGACATCAGTCACGTCCCAAACTTTTACCACCGGAACACTACATCCAACCAATTATGTACATATATCTCTTATAGTGGGGTCCAAGCATATTTATAGAAATCTGATATTTCCAGCATAAAACCGAGAATCGAAAAGCGACATGAAAGTAATGGCTTTTCATTCAACTGGGAGCCTTTTAATCCTCCACACTTTTTCGGATTTTGAAGAGTTTCTGTTTAGAAATTTTCTAGTTATAATTTATTTTATTTTAAATTTTATATTAGTTGTTATTGCTTCCTAAAAATTAATATCAATGTAATCTTTTTCATAATTTTTTGGATGTCATTGCAGTGCTTTGACAAAAATAAAACTAACTATTTATCGTAAACCCTATGTTACACTAATATACTCTCGTAGAGTTGCACAAGAACAAATCTATTCATACAAATGTTTTTTTTGGCATTTTACAATGTTCAGAAACAAGGTAGCAACTCAGTAAAGTTCCCATTTTATTATATTTTTTGTCAATTTACAACTTGACATCCAAAAATTAACAAAAAGAAGACCACCAAGAATCAACAAGAACAACCAAGCAAGTCATTCTTATTTACCTATATTTTTTTCAGTTTTCAAATAAACTAAAATTAATATGGTGTAGAATGTTTTAATAGATTGGAGATTCATAAGGAAGAAAATGGACGCGAGATGAGTAACCAAAATCGGCCACCGGGCTTAAACAGACAAGCGAGATAAGGAGGTTTAAAATGGTCAACGTAAACCTACAGGTTACTTAAGATTGTCCAATTAAGTCGGATTTTGTTGATTTGGGTATCGTTCGACACAGTTGGAAAAACTTTTTGGGATGATAGTACCCGAAATATTTATAAAGTGATGATGTTTTAGGATAATAGATAAATCTGCTACTTATAATTAATTCAATTTTAAATTCTATTTTAGTTAACGCTTTTTAAATTTTAGTGGCTTAAAAAAATATCATCATTAATTTTTTGAATGTCATTGCAATGCTTTGACAAGTACGCTGTCTTTTAAGATTTTTTGATAGTTTCGCTTAGTATATCAAAAAATAATTTCTCGTAAAATATGACTATACCTCTCCCCATAATTGCATCTACCAGTCTCCATCCAACTGCGACACAGTTCTGTCTTGTAAAGCTTTGGATTCTTTTGTTGTACCTGAAAATGAGAGTAAATTTATTTTTAAAAAGAGATTGGATTTCATATCCCATTATAATCCTACAAACATTTTCTCAATTGAAGGGAAGGAAGCAGAGGCAAGCTAATTCGCAAGGTTTTAGATTGCAACGTATGTGATTTTACAAATTTTTAACTAGAAAGACATAAAAAACTGAATCAACTTTGTCGTAAAATTTGTTGTATTTGTATATTTTTGTATGTCACCTATTTATGGCGACAGATACGCATGAAAAATACCGAACAATCAGATTATTCTAATTTCTTGACAAATTTTTATGCAAAAATCGAAAAATTATTGCCGTGATTATGGTCTATGATTTATGCCCTCCTCATTTCTAGTTTAAACTATAGTTGTACCCCGACCCTTGAAAAGATAGTCAATAAGTATAACCGTTACTCCTTATATGTAATTTATTACATTTATGTTTTTAATTAGAAATAGAAAAAAAATTTTTGTCTTCTGCGTCGACGGATGTCTCCTCTTATTTTTTGGATGCTGCTTTAAATGCCAGCAAAAAGTATTTTAATTAATCTATCAGATTTTATTACGAATGGGGAATCATTATACATACTGCACAAAAGTTGTTAGAACTACGAAAAATCAAAGTGATCTTATACTCTTGTGCAGTAAAAAAATCGCGCCATTTTAATAATTTTAAGTTTTGGCGAGATATTTTTAAAAATTTAAAATTTTAATTATTTAATCATATTTCTCTTTATAATCCACATATCTACACAAAATTTGCTAAAATTTGGTCAAGTATGTCCCAAGTTATAAGCTTTTTAAAAGTGTTTTTATACTTTTGTGCAGTACTGTAGTACAAGGAGGTGGTCAAATACATAGTATTTCTAATACTAGAGTAAGAGCTAGCATATAAAATAATAATAATCATTTATTTATACCTCTCCATTGGGTTCTAAATTCAATTGTTTATAATTAATTAAATAATAATTTATGTACAAGACCATTGCGTAGGCCAATGTACCGCAAAACTATAACTTTGTTCGGAATAGTCAAATTCTGAACGCTCTTGTATGCTTCGATGCGTTTAGACAATTTGAATGAACCATACCAGGGCGTTCCTAATTCGAAAATTAACCAAGTTATAGCTAAGCGATATATTGAGATTGTGGTACCTATTCAAGAAATATCCCTCTCTCCCTATAATTTAACCTCAGTTTAACTCTTCTAATAAGTTTAAATTTTAAGTGAGAGGCATAATTAAAGTATGACGTAATTCCAGGGTTTGTTGTCCAGAGGTTGGAGAAAGTTTTCTACATAATTTCCATACTTAAGACACTTTATAAAATCATCTGATTTGAATTGGACCTCTCCATTATCAGGTTCACTTATTTTAGTCTCAATGGGGTACCTATAACGGGTTGTACACGAAACCTGATTTATACTACGCGAATTCGAAATCCGGTCCGAGGAAGTCTCCGTATAATTTATAGCATTTAAAATTTTATTTGAATTAGAAAATGTATTTCAATTGTTACGTCGGTTCTTTGTATGGAATTAATTTTTGGATGCTGCATTGAATGACAGTAAAAAAAGTTTAATAAACGCTTAAACTATAATTAAGGTGTACTATTATAGCGTACTTCTATTTTGAAAATTTTCCCCCTATGTAATTCCAAATCAAACTTTTTGCACTTACACTTAATATTTTTCCGATATGAACTTTGGTTAAAACATATGATTTAATATCTTTTATTAAATCTTAAAAGATTTGTAAAAAATCTACAAAAAGACGCGTTTTCATGAGCTTAGACGATATTTTTTGGATGTCACATTTAAGTTGACAGAAATGTTTGTTTAGTTTGTTGGGCCCCATAGTTTTATTTTTAAGACAGATTAAAAGTAGAAACACTATAAGATAGCTATCGAATAGAATTACTTAAATTCTTCTTATAATTTATTACATTTACGGTTTGGCTTAACTAGCAAAGAATTTTTCGCATTGTGTCTTTCGTTTGCTATGGTAGCTTATTTTTTGGATGCTGCATTAAATGTCAGCAAAAATGGTCTAATAAATTTGTTAAACTATAATTGAATTGAGAGGTATTATTAAACTGGTAGAGGTAAAATACTAGTAGTTCCGGAATAAATCGCTTCCATTTGCTAGAATAGAAGCTAATAGATTAGATACACTGTAGTCTTCTCCTTATAATTTATAACATTTAATGTCTGGTTTGAATTAGAAAAATTAGTTCGAATGATCTATGTATTAGTGATGTTCGGGAGAAGAAAAAACCCGGGAATCGGGAAACGGGAGTCGGGTCGGGAAATGACCTCGGGAGTCGGGATCGGGAGTTGGGAATTCACATAAAAAAATTTTTTTGCCGCCTTCGGCGCCAAAAATTCCTTTTTTTGTACTGCAGGCAAAAATTTTGTGAATTTTGCAAAGTGAAGAAACCAGATATCTTTAATTTTCAGCGCCGCAGGCAAAAATTTGAGACTTGGAGGCTATTCCATCAAACTTTTCACCGCTTATCCGAAAACAAAACTATTCCAGGGAACTTTTCTTTTTATCTTTTAAATCCCTCTTAATCTTAAATTCTTTGTCTGCGCCACAGGCAAAAAATTTTTTAAGTTTGGAAGTCTAAGAACCAGACTTCTTTTATTTACCGCCGGAGGCGAAAATTTAGAGATTGGAAAGCCAATGAGCGAAAATTTTTTAAATTTAGAATATCAAGAAGTCAAATTTTTCCTCCCACGGCGTCGCAAGTGAATTTTTTTTTAGCTTGAGGCCAAGAATCCAGATATTCTTCATTTTCTGCGCCGCAGGCGAAAATTTTTGAAAATCCATGACTAAATTAATTTTTCTAGAGTTTTTCACGTTTACTGATATTATAAGTAAAAAAAATAACTTTCAAATTTTAAATTAATTAATTTATATTAACTAATTAAACTAAATTAATTTTTCTATAGTTTCTTGACGTTTTAATATTGAAAAAAATAATTTTAAAATTTTAAAATCAAAATGAATGTTAAAAAACATTTATTTTTGGAAGGAAAAATTATTTCCATATTTCACAACACTGGATTTGAACCCAGTCCCATCAAATTATCTGAAGTCACTCAACTTAACCACTCAACCACCTATCAACAACAGCCAAATGGGAAAAAATTTAATATTTTATTTTCCCTTTTCCTTTTTTTATTTTTTTCCCTACATTTTTTCCTTTTAAAAATAAAATTTTATCAGAAAAAGCCATTCTTAGGGGTGTAAAAATTTCCCGACTTAGTCGGGAATTGCTATCGGGAGTCGGGATCGGGAGGCCAAAAACTCGGGAAATTTTCCCGAGTCGGGAGTCGGGATCGGGATACCCGAACATCACTACTATGTATCACATTTCTGCAAAACGTAATTTTTTGGATGCTGCATTGAATGCCGGCAAAAAATAGTCTAATAAACTTGTTAAACTTTAATTAACCAGTATTTCCGGAAAAATTACTTCCATTAGGAGAATTTCCCTCCCTGTGAGTAAAACGCTACCAATGTCTACGGGGTATAAATAGATTCTCTTACATAAGTAAATTTCTTGTATCTAAGCGATACCCCCTATTAAGGCTAAACCTCATTATAAGTTCAAGCTATTTTAGCCCCAATGGAGTGTCTATAAGGAATTTATTTTAAAATTTATCAAAATTGGACTTCAACCCACTCTAGAATTAGCATTAGGTGTAGACGAATTGCTGTTGTTAGCCACCGGAGTTGTCGGCGTCGCCTCACCCCCATTGTTGTCTACATTATTATCAATTATGGCTGGTTTAATAGTACTATTAGAAGCATTTCTAGTTAAAAAATCTGGAGATAAATTATTATTAGTGTTGCCAATATTAATTGGTGTGGAGGCCGTCAAAATCTTTACTTCGTTGAAAACAGACATTTTTGATCCCAAAAATTTTAAATTTAATTTATTTTTGAAGTATTTTGATGAAAATGAAGGAGAGATTCTGTTTTGTCAAATAATTAATAATTTTGTTGTTTTTAGAAAAATGCATTAAATAAATTAATTTATTTAATTAAATTGGTTATAGTACATGACTACTGAAATTGAAAAAAAAATTTTTAGAAAATTGTGAGAGCGATTAAACGAGCGCGATTTTTACAAAATATAATGTATTAAATTATATGTAAGTTATATAAAACTAGAGTTAAGGTCGTTCATATATCATTTAGTGGGGTAAATTTATTTTTTGAATGTTAGCAGGAAGCTGACAAAATACAAAAATTTCAGAACAATCCGACAACGGGAAGATAGAGAAACACAAAAAATTCAAGGGGGTTATAATTTCTTAACACACTGTAAAATTTTAGAAAATTGTGGGAGCAAGTAAATGTCCGCGATTTTTACAAAATATAATTTAGTAAATTATTAGTTGTATAAGATTATATTCTAAAATGATTATTTGTTGTTCATTTGGCATGTTGATCATAATTTTTTGGATGTTGCAGAAAGCCAACAAAATAATGTCTATGCTAAAAAGTCTATGGTTTTTCAATTTTCTGGGCATATAAAAAGTACCTAGGTTAAGATAAGGTCGCTAAGCTTCGACCAAGAAGAGAAAAGGGAAAATAAATGAGTAGTACTTTAATCACACTTGCGGTTACAAACCCAAATAATAAAAGTTAGAAAATTAATAAATGCTTGGATAATGTTTAATAAATAGTATTTAATTTATAAAATTACAAAAAGTCTCGTCAAAATTACAGTTATATAATTTTATTCATCAAACAATGAGTTATTTTTGCAAGTCAGTATCAAACTGGCAAATAAATTTGCTTTTTAAAATATTATAAATTTGTGAGAATGATTCTTTTATCTTGAACACGATTATTAAATATCCTTACGCTTCGCCTTTTAATATGCGGGAGGGAAATCTTCTGCCCGTCTACCAACTCTCTTATTTTTTCTTTCTCGAATGACATTTCTCGAATGACAATCATCATCCTTATAAGTTATTTCAATTATTTTGTATCAAATTGGAGATATTTTCGAGATATGGTATCAATATCCGCAGTTTGTGTTTTATTTTTGGATGTCGCATCAAAGCCGACAAATAAATAAACGAAAAGTCTAGTGCATTGTAATTTCGACAGAAGTGAATTGGATGGACATCAAGTTAAATAGAAAATGAGTAATTTGGGCAGTTGGTTATTTATTGAGATTTTCTCGAGATATCGATCTTGATTCTAGAATAACAGTCCCAGTTCGGTTTCTAATTAAGGCAACTTATAGCTGAACATAACTTCATGGGTAACCCTCCACCCGGGCTGACCGAAATAAAATTTTTTATTTCGAAGTTGATATTTTTGCAAAGTTGATATTTTTTGGATGTAGCTTATAAGATGGCAAATATATGAAGAGTTAGATATTTGTGGTCCTTATCCCGAAAGATAATTTGGCTATATATAATATATTAAATTAAAAGGAATATAAGAGCAGTTAAAGATTCGTTCAGAATGTAGAATCGCCATGACGTATGATATATTTTTTGGATGTTAGCAAAGCTAATAAGCAGTTTACAAGTGATAGTTGCATTGAAAATAAGCAAACGTACAAAAATCTTGTAAATATCTGTTAAATAAGATTTCTGAAAATTTTGTTCGATAAAATTTCCGGAAAATTTAGATATACGAAAGGAAATAAGTTATAGTTAACACAATAATTTTGTCCCGCTGACATGAGTTATTTTTGGATGTCATACTATTAAACGGCCAAACCAATTTGCTTTTTAAAATACCTTAAATTGATTTGTGGGAGATGATTCTTCTAAGTATCGAACTCGATTATTAATATTGAAATAACGGGGAAAGTGGCAGAATATAATCACATTTTAAAGAGATTATACATACCTTAACTCGATAAACTTAATTAAGGGAGTGGTTCAAATTGTAGGGGTATTATTTACGAAAAACGGGTAATCATCCTCCCTATAATCTATTACATTTATTCTGTATTAAAGATGGAGATATTTTTAGAGTTAAGGATGTAGATGTCGTCTGTATGATTCGTTTTATTTTTGGATGTCGCATCGAAAGCCGACAAAATATAGACAAAATGTTACTTAATTTGTAGGTGTTAAAAGTAGAGATAAGATTTTAGGTTTTTCCTATTAAAGACACCCAATATTAGTGTACAATTTGAGATGCGGTGGAAAATTTAACATAGTAAGAGTAACTATGCTAAAAGCAATAAGGTAATGACCAAATGTTCCTTATAGTTTATTACATTTATTTGTAATTAAGTAGAGCTTACTGTTAGGGTTAGGAGTCAAAAGGGCCGTTGAATGTATTTTTTTGGATGCCGCTTCAGAGTCGGCAAAAACAAAACAATGCTAACGTTAATGTGTTGGATATGAGTAACATAAAAACTTCAAACTAAAAACTGAAGAAAATCTTTAAACATTTTTATTTATACTAGAACTGTCCAAGACTTTTGTCCCAGTATTTTAACTCAAGACTTTTCTTGGTTTTTCGATCTCCGTCTTGGTGTAAAGTCTAAGTCTCGAGTCTTGATTATGGAAAATTTTCGGTTTTGGACAGCTCTGCACATTATAATATATTTAATTAATTGAATAAGAAAAACAATTGAATTTAGAATCCGAAGCTTCTCCCATGTGGATCTTTTATTTTTGCATGCTAGATTTTATTCTAGCAAATGAAAGTATTTTGCCTGGTATTTAATCTGTATTTTAATTATAGACAAGATAATCGAGGTTTTTGTTCGAGATATCGTTACGAACCGGTCTCTTATTTGAATGATATTTCGTGCATTGATAAGAACAGAATTTAATGAATATTTTTGCTGGTATTTGATACAGCATCCAAAAATAAACTGCTAATTACCCAACGAATGACAGATTACAAAAGTCCGTTTCTAATTAGAATAAACAGTAAATGTAAAAAATTATATGGAGAGTGGATTATACTATAAAGAACATATTTAGGTATATTCAATAAATAAAGTTTATCGGCAACGTGGTCAGGGAGTCACTTACATGGAAAATTTAAAATGAAAAAAACAATACAGTTAATGTGTGTGTATTAAGAAGATCATTTGATCATTAGGGAGGTTCGCAAATGATTTGAATTTATTAAAAGCAATACTGAAAATAAAAGCAAAACCATTCTTATAATCTATTACATTTATTTTGTTTTAAATTGTAAAAGCTTTAGGCGTCGGAAGCTACTTCGGTTTAGACGCAGGTGTTTATTTTTTGGATGTCGCTCGAAAGCCGACAAAAAATAATAAAAGGTTAGCGTATTAGTTATGATTAACATAAAAGTTTCGAAGCACCCGTATTAGATACATTCTAATTCTGGATTTGATTGTCCTATGCTAAGGACAGAAAAAGAGACACGAGAGACCTCCTACTAGAAACACCCCTCGTTATAACTGCAATTTTAGGCCTTATAGGTGGACGTTTATAATAAGGCCCGCCATCAAATGTTTATGTTATACCATGTGGTCAATATATGTATTTACAAAATAAATTATAAAAGGAAGACATAAACAAATAAATAACCAATTTCAAAATAATTGAAGGAATATTGGACAAAAAAGTGAATAAAAATTAAAATAAAACAAATTTCCTTCATTTTTAAAAAAATTTAATATATTAAGCAAATAATATAAAAATAACTATTGTTCAGAAAAAAAAGTAAAAGTGCATTCCTTTCAATTTTAATTTGACGAAGAAAAAAAAATTTTTTTAGAAAAATGAAAAGAGGCAAAAAAAGAAAAGCAAAAATCAACTTCAATATATAAATACATTTGTACTTTTAAAAAATACGGAAGAAATATGAGACGAGAAACGAAGGGAGTAATAGTTAGAGATGGGCGAGGTTGAGGCTGTTTTGAAAAAATCGAGGTCGAGATCGAGAGCAAATTTGGACACGAGACTCAGCTCTTGGTGAGGAACGAGACTCCGAAACTAGTCAAAGTCGAAACTCGAGACCTGGAGATAATAGACGAGACCTCGTGCTTGGCAAGATCCCGACCTCGGCCAACTCTAGTAGTGCTGTTTTACTTAGTATTGCACAAAAATAAAATTGTCTGGCAGGCAGACAAACAAATGGTGAAAAAATAAAAAAAAATGGGGAAATGAATGAAAGGGGAAAGGAGGTAAAAAATAAAAGAATGAGGGAGCTGAAGACGGAATGTAAATGTGTGTAATATGAAAGAATGTCTGGGAAGACGTTAGAGTATATGGAGGGAATTTTTTCGGGGGAAGGAGGGAATCAGGGGTGGAATTTTAAATAACTCAGTTAACTCAATTCTCAAACGATTTTCATAAGACACTCCCAGTCAGGTATGTCAGCATGTGAAAAACATTTTCCGCTGTCCGCAATCCGACATTGCGGACAGGCCTGCTCCCAGTTTTGGTTCTAGTGTTTACTCTTGGGGTGAAAATTTTATCCTATACATATTGAGCCGTATTCTATATAGAGGGTTTCGCTTTGGAAGCGTCTCCAAACAGTGACCATCAAATTACTTAGGAACGTATGTGGATTAAATGAGAGGGCAATCTAAAAGTTACTCGGGATATATTAGAGACAGAGCCGGGACGATCAACTTTCTAACATAACAAAACATATGATGACTTTACAGAATTTTCTGTCAATGCAAGCATGACATCCAAAAATACTCAAGGACCAACAGAAGGCCAGAGAAGTTGTTAACATTGTAAGATATTTAAATATGTACAAATTAAAATGTAAAAAGTAATACATATTAAACACAGTATTTGTATCTACATTAGGTAGGTAACCCGACCCAATGATTTTTAGGCACAAAACCTGATCCGAACTGCTAAGGCGTAAAAGCTAAAACAGACCCAATCCCTAACACTCACGACTTCGAAGGGTCGTGTTGCCACCCTAAATTAAACATAATCTTATTGATAGCAGATCTATAACTACAAAAATATATGGGCTAGTACTCATTTGTCAGTGAACATTATAATTTATTTAATTAAACGAACTAGAAAACAATTAAATTTATGACACGAATCGAAAATTAAAAAATATGCATGTAATTTTTTGGATGCTAGCCTTCAATCTAGCAAATGTGTTTACCTTGAATAACGAAAATTCTCTAATATAAGCACACCCTACAAGAGGGTTAAAAAATAGAAGGCTTCAATTAGAGAATTTATGGTATATTCAATGAAACCCAAGGGCATACACCTAAAGGAGGACATAGTTTAATAGTATTTGTCATGTATAGCAATGACATCCAAAAAAATTAAAAAAAGATGGAAGAAGCTTGAAATAATAAATAAAGTTAATGTTAAAATAATGTGTAAATGAATTTTATGATAAGAAGCATTAAATATTTTGCCAAAAATTTAATAACGAAAAATTGCACCTAATAATTTAAAAATTAAAAGCATTAGAAAAACAATTACTAAATGTTGAGGTTGTTCAAGATTCGAGCGAGCTCTTAATTTTTTGGATGTTAGCTAATATGCTAGCAATAAGTTTGTTATAGGGAATAAAGAATTTATTTTTATGTCGGCAGATTCCCTGTTATCGATACACAAGCCTATTAATTTTTTTACTTTTGTTTAGTTTTACTTTTGTTGAGATACATAGAAATTTTTAATGAAGTGGCAGATCATAATGTGTTCCCCTCCCATTTTACCTAAACTCTTATTTTAGCAAATCTCATCCCGAGGGGTTACATTATATAGAGAATCGAATGTACATGAATTCTAAATGTAAACATACTGACGAAAAATCATAAAAAATATTAAAAATCTTTTGTCAATTCCTGATTGACAACCAAAAATAATCAACTCAACTTGAGGCTTACTACACTTTAAGAAAATGAAATATTTTAATATATATCAGATTTTAAAATAATTAATATTAAACAATAAAATTTGTGAAGATTGAATTCTCGATTCCGGTTTTTGTCAAAACAATTAATTAATTAAAGGTTCAGGGGAAGTGTAAAAGAAAAGACGGAATTCGGCAGAAGACGGAAATGGAAGGATTCTATCACTGGCAGTCCAGTAAGTTCAGAATTAGTAAATCTATTTTTGCCAAAGCATTGCAATGACATACAAAAATATTCAGAGTTTGAATTCAAAGTTCGAACGTAAAATGCCCCTTAGTCTTTTATTTTCTTTAAATAATTTTTAAAAAAATTCTATATAAGGAGTAATATAAAATCTATAAAAATTTTGGGATATGCAGATTTTGATCCGAACTGTGAACTTAATTGAAAATGGCAGTCCTAAGGGTTTATTTTAAAAATAGGCTCGACTGTATTTCACCGCCCAAAAATAAAAAAAAATTTCAAATACTCTAATGTCCATTAAACCCACCCATTTATTTGTAAGTATTTTTAGGGGCAGTCGGCCACATGATGAATAAAAAAAGAAAAAAAGGATGATAAAAGAAGAAAGAAAAAAATAAATACACAAATGAAAAAGAAAGAATAAAGGGGGGCAGTTTCCCAGGAATAGAAAGAAGTGGATATAAAGAAGAGAAAAGAAAATTACTTTTTTTTGTGGCCCAATTTAAAAAATGAGTGTGCAAAAAATAGAAAAAAAATTTTGCGGATTTGTATGCGGAAGTATAAAAAATTAGCAGGAAAATTATTGATTTACTTAATATATGTATAGTTTTTAATTAGAAAATAGGTAAAAGAAAAATAAAAAGGGGTACGAAATTCTCCGTATATTTTAATTAAATCTTTCTGCCTTATTTGTAAATAATTTTTGGGCTCTATTATCAGTGTTGTGTTGTGTCTTCATTAAGTATTTTTGAATGCCGCATTGACAGGCGGCAAAATGTGTAGGTGAAAATTGTATGTAACACATACTGATCCACTTATACGCACCTCACGTCAGAGAAAACTAATGTCAAGGTGGGAGTATTGAGAATTCGAAGGCGTAATGAGGCACAACATTACGGCACATGTGTTTATTAATTGAGTTATCCTCTTAATATAACTTAATTCATTAAATAATTTACAAGAGCTGGAAACCATTTTAGAAAGTGTTGAGAGGCTATTTCTGTTGTTGTATTTTTGGATGTCAACGAAATGTTCCGGCAATAAATTTGTTGTAAAACTAAGGGATTGTTTTGCGGTGCGATACAAGAAACGAGGTTGAGTGTACCTATGGTTTGGCCGGTTAAGTGTATCTATATTACAGTTCTGATGACAACTCACCAAAACTATTCACTTAACATTCAACTCAAAAACAATTTAAAAAAATAAAATTCGAAGCTTTAGAACAAAAAAACGCAGCAAAATAAAAAGAGCTAAAAAATAATTATATTGTTATTAATTTTGTGTAAATATCTATAATTAGATTTGTAAAAAAATCAATTAGAAATCAAAAAAAATTTGAGAAAATGTTAAAAATCGTTAAAAAAAATTAAAAAGTAAGAAAATTAATTGTTAAAAATTTTGAAATTTTTGGAAAAAAATGAAAGGATCTTTGATAAAATTGGATTATTTAAAATGAGAAAAATTTTATACGGAACAAAGGGGAGCAGGTCAATGTACCGAAGAGGTAATCTTATGCCGTCAGTGGACATTTTCGTCAGAATTAGTTTCGTCAGAGGTCCTCGTCAGAGACCAGTCTCGTCAGAGGGCAGTTTCGTCAGAGATCAATTTCGTCAGAGGTCCTCTTCGTCAGCAAGGCTCCCTTTTTAAAAATCTAATTAAACGGTGGTATTATGATTTATACTAAGTTATTTGTTTCTGGATCGATTTGGACAAATGAGGTGTCATTCGAATAATCTCTAAAAACTGAGTCGAATTTGTTATGGAAGAATCTGATCCGACATTCCGGGACCGAATTACAGACTCCTGAATCATGACAAACCATAGGGAGGCTCATCTCGTCGAACTCGATGCAGCTCGTCGATCTGACTCGAGCGAGCTATCATTTGTATACTCAAATTTTTCACCCCAAAAATCAGTTTTTAGAGATTATTCGAATGACACCTCATTTGTCCAAATCGATCCAGAAACAAATAACTTAGTATAAATCATAATACCACCGTTTAATTAGATTTTTAAAAAGGGAGCCTTGCTGACGAAGAGGACCTCTGACGAAATTGATCTCTGACGAAACTGCCCTCTGACGAGACTGGTCTCTGACGAGAAGGACCTCTGACGAAACTAATTCTGACGAAAATGTCCTCTGACTAAACTAACCTCTGACGAGACTACCGGACACGCAAATTAAGGCATAAATTCTCCTCATACTTTATTACATTTATTTTGTTTATGTGGGGATTATTTTAAAGTTTTATTATCGCCACCTGCCAACGGTTCTGTATTTTTGGATGCCGCATTTTATGCCGGCAAAAGTAAACAAAATAGATTCAAAAAATCTGATTATTTCCACAGCCAGAAAAAATTTTTTGTTTCCTTTTAATATAATCTAATTCGTTAAATAATTTACAAAAGAAGCAATCTATTTATTTAGTTAGATATTCAACAAGAAAGCAATTGTCATTTTTTGGATGTCAAAGCAATGCTTTGATAAAAATTTTGGTTATTTCGAATACAAAATTTTCGTAATCGTGAATCGGGTCAACGCGATCCTACTCCTTATATTCTATCACATTTATTTCGTTTTATTTGGAAATAATAATTAACGTTCTACGTTTGGCGCATCGACGAAGCTGTTCTTTATTTTTGAATGCCGCATTAAATGCAGGCAAAAAAATTTTTAAGCAAACATTCAATAAATTTTTTGGTCCTATGTGAAAGAATCGTAAAACTTGAGCTTATGTATTTATATTTTGGAACCAATTTTTGAACTGTAGATTAAGCAATAAAAATTAAAAAACAATAAGAAATACAAAAAATTAATTCAAAGTTGCAAAACTAAAATTAGAACAAAATAAAGAAAGCTAAAAAATAATTATATTGTTATTAATGTTGAGCAAATACCTAAAATTAGATTTGTAATAAATCTTATAAAATAATTAGGAAAAAATTTTTTGGCTTTTAAAATAAGTTTTGCCATGGATATAATATAAAATATTCCATTTAGAATATTATAAGTATATGCGCGTGATTATAAAGTTAAGGGACATTATCATAAGTATTTGTATTTTTTTGATGTTTGTGCATTGCACAGACAGAAATCAACAAATTTGGTTAAAGTAAGACAGACCAAAAAAGGACCAAACAATCAAAATAAATATAGCTTTAGCTTTGTAAAGGTCGAAATAGTTAAAAAAGCAAAAACGAAATTAAACTAAAAGCAAAATGCAGGAAAACGAGTGAGCACCGTGTGATTCTGGAGACGTGTTAGTTGGATCGAGAATATGGTGAAACCATTATCGCATATTAAGATCACTTTCGGTCCACGTCGATTAACATATGTATATATTATTTCAATTTGATATGCTTAAAGAGGTATCAATTCAATAAAGTTAAATCTTTCCTTTGCTCTCCCTTATTACTTTTATTTTTTGGATGTTTGTGCAACGCACGGACAATAAGTCTAAAAGTAGCTTAAAGTGAGACAGCCAAAAAAAGTACCAAAAAATCAAAATAGTTTGGTCTAAGAAGTGCGAAATTGGTGGTTTAATTAGTTTAAATTAGGGTAGCAATCCAACGGAGAATCCTGTCATTTTTTGCAAAAACCCCGACAAGAACCCTGAAAGCATTACACCCACAATAATACTTCGAAGAGCCAGACAGAAAATTGAATTCCGAATTAATTAGAAATAACGAATACATTATTAAATGGGTGAACAGCGATAAAAAACGGAAGGCGGAAAATTAAAAAGGATGCATTAGAATAGGCATCAGGGCTGGACGCAATTGCGGATTGAGTGAAATTGCGTGTTTTTTTACTTGCGGATTACGGCTGCGGATTTTAAAATTAAGCGAGTTGTGGATTGTGGCTTCGGAAATTTTTTTCAATTGCGCCCAGCACTGATAGGCATGTTATAGGTAGTGCAATGCACAGACAAAAACACAATGGTAAGAAATTCTGACGGATACAATAAGAGAATATTTCGTATAAAATATTTAATTTTAAAATAGTTATGAATTGTATTACATACAAATAGTTATCGCCATTGCTAGGAACATCAGATTTTTTTGGATTTCTGTGCAATGCACAGAGAGAAAAAAAGTGAAACTATCCTTGGCCCTCAATCCGAACACGGTCCAGAAAAACACGGAGAACGACCAGAACACGGAACAATCTACATTTTCATTAAATGAGGTTCGCAAATACATAAATGAAAATCTAAAATGCTAGGCATAATTAAATAAAAATTATTTGGAATTTGGCCAAAAACGTAAAAATTATTTCGTTATCATTTTAAATAAAAATAGTAACTATTAAAAATAAAATCGACCCAATATCGATAAAAAAAATAATTTTGTCCGCAAAAATTTCTCTCAACTGGAATTTCCTAGTATTCTCTTTCTCTTTTTCTCTTTAAGAAAATGGCTGGCAGGCTTATGACGCCAGAGCACACACACAACTAAGCGGCTGACTAGAGGCAGTCGTCTGGGATAAAGTCTAATACATTGTGTGTGGGTGGGTGGTGAAGAATGAATGAATGAATGAATGAATGAAAGTAAAAAGGGTATAGAGGAAAACTTGAGACTGTCTCTGGTTAACTCACAAGACAGGAAAGAGTGTTTAACGCGCTCAAGCATACAAGTATTTTCTGAACGACACTTGCGTACACGACATTTGCGGACAAAACGAAAGCCTATTGAAATTGGAACTAGCGGAAATTTGGGCCTTATCCAGTAACTTGTCCTAAATTTTCGGATCTATTTTCGAGGTGCTATACCAATACAACTCATTTTATAAGCTATAAGTTAGAAAGCTTTCTGGGTGTGTTCCCAAATGTCGGTCCGCAAGTGTCGCTCAGTCTTCCTTACATTCCTAGTCAGAGAGGGAAATTGGGGAATGTAAAATAAAAAAAATTTCTTAGTAATAGAAGAGTGAAAGTGAGGGAAGAATTTTTCAAAAAATTATGTAAAGCAGGCAGTAGAGGCAGTAGAGTATTTATTGGGGCAGTAGAGTATTAAATAAAAAATTTTGCAAAATTTGTTTAAATAGAAGGATTAAACGTATTAGATAAAAAATGTGTTTTGATTGAAAATGTTAACTTGACGAGCCATAGAAAATAAAGAATCATAGGAAAATAAAAAGTGGATCAAATTCCGTCATAAGTCCAGGAAACAAAAATTCATGGGACGCATAAACCGGACATGTGCCAAATGACCTTAGTCCCCCTTACCTTATTGGTTTCAGTACTCGGCAATATACCGTATTTGCTCTAAAATAAGCGCCGAGGCTTGTTTTTTTCGATCTAACTCATTCTTTCGAATGATATCTTAATATATATCCAGGACCTAGACTAAATTTTACCAAAAATTTGGAAGATAATGACAACTAAAAGATATTATTTTGTCAGTGAAGCAGACTGACATCCAAAAAATAACAGCGTAAAAACTGAGGTTTTCCAATATGACCACGAAAAACTACATACATTTTAGCTATTATGAAATAGAATAAAAGTATACGGAGAAAAACGATCATGTCAAATCTATCAAATTTATGGCAATATTTTTGATCGAATATTTAATGAAAATTTCCAAGTTAAATGATTTGTTAGTGTTATATACTAACATCCAAAAAATAAATGCAGTCGTAGTGGGCGTTTGATATCAAAAAGACTTTTGCCTTTTAAACCCTTTATAATTTAATTTAAATTTACGGAGGAAAAAGAATCACAATTAAAAATAAAGATAAAGTGGAAAATAGTATTTAGTTAGCCATTTGGTTTAAAAAAATGAAATTAGGTGAAATTAGGACCCAAAAATCAGTTTTTTTTGAAAGATTTCCTTTGTTGGTGGTCGACAAATCAGGTACAAAAAATAAAAATAATAGATAATGAATTTGAAAATCGTTTGTTAGTGATATCCACAACATCCAAAAAATTAAAAGCAGCGGGCGCAGAAAAGATGTTATCTGAAAAACTAATTGCATTTTAGGCTTTATAAAATTAAATTTAAATTTAGGAAGAAAAATAATCACAAAAATAAACTGGACAACACTAAAGTGTTATACGGCTGGGTATTGGGCATTTGTTGGAACAAGCTTCGAGGTTGTCAAAACTACAGCTCCGTACCTGGATCCCGGAACCGTACTAAGAACTGTGGTTATATAACGGTATTTGTATTACAAGAGTTTAGGCTTCTGTTCCGAGTCTACCTAAGAATCAGTTTCTTTTAAAAGATTTCCTTTGTTGCTGTTTGAAGGAGGGAAAAGAGGAAAGGATACAAGAAAGAAAAATAATTGGGAATTAAATCAGAAATGGGAAATTATTTTGTCAGTGACGCACACTAACATCCAAAAAATAGACAGTACATCGAAAAAAAGGAGAAAAACATAACTGTAGCAAAATACCCGTATTTTTGACTGGAAGAATCTAATTAGATTTATGGAGTAAAATAATCAAATACGCTGGAATTATTTCATTATGATAACAATAGGGATCGAACTAGTTTAGAAAGGAAAAAAATTATATGAAATCGAACATCGCTATAGAACCGAATATATGAACGAAAGTTTCAAAACATATCGGGATTAATGTGACGAATATAAACTCTTGCAAGTCTTAGAAGGCGTAGTTGATGAAACGGTGGTGTGTGATGTCGGCAGAAGTGACGTGGGTAGTGGAATGGGCAGTGAGTGATTTAGGCAGTGATCACTTCTGCCGAAATCACCAGAACCGATGAAACCAGTAGGGTCTACTAAATAAGAAATTTGTGGAGGGAGAGGTTATTTGTTTGTGAAATATACAAACATCCAAAAAAATGAAAGGAGGAACAATGCAACCAAGCTCAACTTTCGAGCAATCAAAAGATCTTTTAGATAGAGTAAATTGCTATAAATCATATGAATCAATTTTTTTTCGATCAATTGAATTCCGTAAAGCGTCATTCGCTTGTATTTAAGTTTTCTGTGTTATTGTTGTGTCCGTACTTGCAGAAGGAATATAAATGAAAATAAATAACCCATCCAAGGGTTGGATGGTGGCACAGTCGGTTGTGTTCGGTTTGGGCCTTCTCGTGCTGGATCAATCCAGGTCCCATCCAATGAATTTTTCCACAGCATGAATACTCTTATATAATAGTTATGTCAAAGGGTTACGGTCTTACCTAGCGATCAACAGAATAACAAAAGAGTAGAATATCAGGCTTTTCCGAAAACTAGATACAAGAAAAAGCGAATGTGGCAAAGGTTGGAAATGGAAACTGTACAGGTAACTGAAAAGTGAATAAAACGGAACAGTGATATCCTTGGAAGGCTCCCGGACAATCCGTCAGTGGACAATCCGGCAGTGGAAAATCCGTCAGTGGACAATGCGTCAGTGGTCGGACAATCGGTCAGTGGACAATCCGTCACTGAACAAATTCATAATTCCCACCCGAATCCAAAAAACCGCGGCCAAAAATTTTCATTTTTTCATGTGAGAGGTTATAAGAGATAACGAAAATATGGAGATTAATGAGGAAATCGGTAGATTTAGCTGGATTAAAAGCATATCTGTGGATTTGGGAGTCATCGGGGACTTCAAAGATATTGTGGGATCAAGGGGAATATAAAAGATTTATAGTATTGTGGTGGTTATCTAGGAATTTGGGAGATTAAGATGGATCTCGTGGATAAAGGAGGATATCAAGGGATATAGGCGGGTTAAGAGGATTTGGAGGTTGTTCCATGATATCCATCTAAAAATAAACTCACTTATTCATCGAGTTCCATAATTACACGATATTTACCCAAATCCTACAATAATGCCACACGTTTATCACGTAAATCTAATCCATTCAAATCCCCGATATCCTTCTAAAGCCATCGACATTGGCGTAATTCAACCACATTGCCCACTATTGCTTTTAATCCAGCTAAATCTGCCGATTTCCTACTTAATCTCCATATTTTCGATATCTCTTATAATCCCCTACATGATAAATGAAAATTTTTGACCGAGATAGTTTGGGTAAGGGTAGGAATTACAAATTTGTTCACTGATGGATTGTCCACTGACCGATTGTCCGACCACTGACGCATTGTCCACTGACGGATTTTCCACTGCCGGATTGTCCACTGACGGATTGTCCGGTCACGCCTTGGAAGGATTCAAATTAATAATAAACTCAAATGATTTTTTGTCGGCATTCTATGCGACATCCAAAAAATAAAACTTCAAATATAGGAACTGTTACAAATTGATTTTTAACTCAAAATATTACACATTTTAAACAAAATAAACATAATAAATTATAAGGTTACAGCTTTTTTAAGGAATGCCTCCACTAATTACTAAATTCCAGGGATATCTTGAAGAAATAAGTGTCTAAGAAAAAACCTTATAGTTAGAGTACCTAATGCTTGTAAAGCTAACACTAGGGGTGTAACCCGAACGTAAGAGAATTGGATGCGTGCGGTACGGGGGTTTGTAAATTTTTCGGGGACACCTTAACAATTTATTAATTTTTGTTTTATCTTAAAATTATCAAAATTTAGGGAAAATCTAGATTTCTTTCAACAATGCGGCGTTTTATTTTTTGGATGTCAATGCTTAAATTGACAGAAAAATAAGGTAAACAAGAGTCAGATATTGGAACAAGGAATGGTCAAAAATGTAATTAAGAAAGGTCAACGACTTTTGAGGACAGGATACATCCTTAATTATAACTCATTGAAACACATCAAATTAAACTTTAGGTATACTCCTTAATAATTTATTAATTTTTTAGTACATTTTAGAACTATAAAATTTGGATAGATCTAGGTTGCTTGTGATGCGAGTAGTCGTAGTTTTTGGATGTCAATTCTTAAATTGACAAATTATAAGGGATATGACATTAACAAGTCTAATTTCTGAACATGGAATGGTCTACAAAGACAGGATTATGACCAGATTAAATGTGATTTGTATTTATTTTTTGCCGACTTTCACAGCGGCATCCAAAAAATAACAACACTGACGTGCCCCTAGATCCAAACCATAACAAAAAATATTTTTAATTAACAGCAGTTTAATATAATAAAGCATAATGAGAATGTTCAACTAAAATTGGACACGAACGATAATGTTTCCCTGCGGCGGGTCAAATAGACATGAATACGAACTTTATAGCCGCCACCGGGAAAATTAACCAGTTAAGTCCAACACCTGTTCGTACATTTTTTGTTACTTTTACATAGACTTAGACGTTCAAGGGCTAGTATGGTACAGGGATTTCAATATTTCGAGGTTATGCGGAAAGAATTATGTCGGGGAAAGCTGCAAATAATTAAGCTTGTAAATACAACATAATAATTTATTTATTTCAATTAATTATAAAATGCCTTCAAATTTGGGATAGTCTGGGAGGTCTGTTGCTGAAGTAATCATTTTTTGGATGTCAATTCGTCAATTGACAAAAAATAAATGGTGTTACATAAAAGTCAATAACAAAAGTCAAATGTCAGAACGCGTCTGGCCAAAAAGGTAATAAAGAAAGGTAGAAGAAATGATATACCGAAAATTTTGGGTATTTGTTTTTTGCCGTCATTTAATGCGACATCCAAAAATAATAAACAACTGATACAGACTATTCGACTTAAGACTTCAAAAATATTTTTATATTTAAAACAAAATAAATATAATAAAGTATAAGGATAGAATGTCCTGCATTCCGCACTATACCCACCCGGCATCGCCTCTTGGGATCTTATCATCGCACGCAACACACTCAATACCATCCTGGCCCAGCACAAGCTTTACTACACCCTATAATTTATTGTATTTAGTTTAGATTAAAATGCCCAAAATTTACAAACAATAAGCTGCCTCATGCTATGCCACACTATATTATTTTTGGATGTCAATTCGTACATTGACAAAAAATGAGTGTTACCTAAACAAATAGGCGAAAACTAAAATCGATACCACACATCCGAATAAGTAATGGTCAAGAAGGCCAATAAAACCACGTTAACTCAATTTATGCCTTTATTTTTTGCCAACATTCAATGCGACATCCAAAAATATAACAAAGTCGACGTGCTCCTGTACCCCAACCGTAACAAAAAATATTTTCAATTAACATCAATTTAATATAATAAAGCATAAGGAGAAAGTTCTACTAGAATTGGGCACGATCGGTAAATTTTTCCCTGCGACGGGTAAGAGAAGAATAAGAGCTTTATAGCCGCCAAAGGGAAAAATTAACCGGTCAAGTCCAATATTAGTTCGTACATTTACTGTTACTTTTACTTAGACTCAGACGTTCAAGGGTGTGTATGGTACATAGATTTCAATATTTCGGGGTTATGCGGAAAGAATTATGTCGGGGAGAGCTGCAAATAATTAAGCTTGTAAATACACCTTAATAATTTACTAATTTCAGTTAATTATAAAATGCCTTCAAATTTGGCAGTCTGGGGGTTGTTGTTTGCTAAAAAGAATCATTTTTTGGATGTCAATCGTCAATTGACCAAAAAATAAGGTGTATTACCTAAAAGTCAATAACAAAAGTCAAATGTCAGAACGCGGACTGATCAAAAAAGGTACGAAAGAAAGGTTGGAGAAATGGTAAACCAAAATTTTGGGTATTTATTTTTTGCCGTCATTTTATGCGACATCCAAAAAAAATACACACAAATCACCCACCATTTGACTTAAAACCCCAGAAACATTTTTTATTTAAAACAAAATAAATATAATAAAGTATAAGGATAGAATGTCCTGCATTCCGCACTATACACATCAGGGATCGCCTCTTGTGACCTTAACATCGCACGCAACACACCCAACACCATCCAGGCACAGCACAAGCTTTACTACACCCTATAATTTATTGTATTTAGTTTAGATTAAAATGCCCAAAATTTACAAACAATAAGCTGCCTCATGATTAGCCACAGCATATTATTTTTGAATGTCAATTCGTACATTGACAAAAAATGAGTGTTACTTAAACAAATAGGCGAAAACTAAAACCAATACCGCCCATCCGAATAAGGAAAGGTCAAGAAAGGCCAATAAAACCACGTTAACTCAATTTGTGCCTTTATTTTTTTGCCGACATTCAATGCGACATTCAAAAATAATACAAAAGAACGATGCTACAACTATCGGCAAAATAGGTAACGGCTATTTATATGTAAATCAAAAATGTAATTAAATATAATGAATAGATTGACAAAATATACATTAGCTAAAAAATAAGGTTCAGCTACTTTAGGACATTCATGGGACGCATGCCCTAAAGTATCCCAAGGTTCGCATAAAAAAATTTACGTAATACGCGTAATGCATGGGAAAGGACACATTAAGAAAGGATATGAGCATAAGGCAATTAAATTTGTAAAGTTATCAATAATTAATTAAAGTTAATTCTAAATCAAGAAAATTTGTGATAAGCTAACTTATTCGTATTTGGCTTCATGATTATTTTTTGGATGGCAATTTACAATTGGCAAAGAATAGAGTGTATGGTAACCAAATCTACGAATTAATGATTTTTTGTCGGCATAACGCGACATCCAAAAATAAACATGCTGAACACTTCGGACATCAAATAACAAAAAAATGTTTAAGTTTAAACCGAAATACAAACGTAATAAAGTATAAGGAGTACACTGACAAAAATACGTTAACAAAAGTATATAGACCCCCATACTATATTTAGACATGACCAGGGGTAGAGTAACAATGAGGGGATATCAAAACGGTACCCACATTTCAGAAACTATTTTTGCCGGCATTTAAGCCGACACCCAAAAATAATCCTTGCCAAGACAAATACAATAGTTAACACTAAAAATATTTCATTTAAAACAAAATAAATGTGGAAGAGTATAAGGAGTAAAACATTTAAAATGTTAAATAATTTGTTCATTTTATTTTTTATCTTTGACAAAATTAGGAAATTAAATAAAATTTTGGCAGTTGGACAATGCGAAAAGTAAAGAAAAAAATTTTTTAGTGGTTATACAGCAAGGAAACAAAATATCAATAAATATTAAATTGGAAAAGAACGGAGGACGAATTTATTAAAATTGTAAAGTAAAAAGAAAGGAGTCATTTGGGCGCAGAGGAGACAGGGCGCAGAACGATAATATAAAAATCCGCTTTTGGGCGCGAGCAGATTTTTGGCTTTATTTAGAATTCTAGAGAATCTAAAATGCTTAATATGATAAAAATTGATTTAATCTTTATTTATTAACGCAAAAATTTTTAAAAACCTATTGAGATTCAAGTGAATATATTGTATTTTTGTAAGCTAAACTCGATTTGGCTAAAATAGGTAAATTACTCGAAAAGCTGTTAAAAGTAAAACATTGGGTTTCATTTGAGGCTTACCGCTTTCAAGGACATAACACTGTCCTTATATTTAAAACAAGGTAGTAGTCAAATTTTTTGGGAAAAAATTTTGAAGAATTTGTAGTTTTGGCCTATGTATCAGTCTAAGGCCCGCGCCCAAACATCCTCTGCGCCTAGAAAAATGAAAAGTGGAAGAAAGGGAAAGAAATAAATGAAAATAAAAGTTTAATATTAAAATATTCGTCATTTAAAACAATTTTATTTATCGATGAGTAAAATGAGAGAGGTTGGGACCAGTCACATAAACATTCCAATAAATAAAAATGATTTTTTATTAATTTTGGAAGGTTTTTGAATTTGGAGTGGGAATAGAAAAGAAAAAATTGATTAATAAAGGTGATTGGAGGGAGGGTGGTTTACATAATTTAATAAGGGAAATAAACATTTTGCCAACGCACAGGTATGGCATCCAAAAAATGAAATTTGTAAGGCGACGCAGACAACAGCTGATATTAGAAATTCTTCTAGATTTAATAGGTATTTTAATTGAAAAATTTGATATTATTTACAAAAGGCGCGGTATTTTGGGAAGGGAACGGAAAAAATTAAATGCAAAATTGATCGAGGGAGGTATAAATCTGAAAATTTAATAGAAGAGAGACATTTTGCCAATGCTAGAGCATGACATCCAAAAAATATTAACCCTGACGAGACATCGACGTCCGACATTATGAATATATCTACGATTTATATAATATTTTAATTCAAAAAGTTGCTATTGTTTAAAATAAGATGGTCTCCAGTTTGCTTGCGAGTAAACGGAGAAAGGGTTGTTATAAGAGAGATCGGACTGAAACAAGATCTCTAAAATATCTCGGGCATCAAGATTTTTCAAAATCTCGATTCTCGTACAACCCTCCCAGTCAGGCCTCTAGTTATAACTAGAATGAAGTCTTATACTATTTTTCCGCGAGTAAAATGAAACGCAAGCATTACCCAACGCAGTTCATTTCTTGTTAGGTAGGTAACAAACATCCAAAATATAGTAGGGCTAAACTGCCATATCTAGAGGATTTTAGATTTGGCCAATGAAAACACGGCATCCAAAAATAAGGTGACAAAAGGCAAGAACAGGAGTGACATATTATGAAAATTCATACCAGGCTTTAAACAATATTTTAATTTAAAAATTTGCTATCGTTGGATTTTGTGTAGATATGGTGGTTGAAAAAAAGTGAGTCAAAAAATGGCCCGAGAAAAAACCGAGTCGGGGTTTCGGATCGGAAAAAAGTCCAGGTTTCGGGTAACTCGGCCTCTCTAAATCCCTCGATATTCGCTTTCAAGAGTAAATTAATTATTACAATTTATTGAAGAAGGCGGAAATAATTAATAAAATTTAATAAGAGAAAAAAAACGAAATTTTGCCTATGCATAAGCAAGGCATCCAAAAAATTAAGGATCTTGATTCGGGTTCATGACGCAGAATTATGAAAATATCCCATATTTAAAAGATAACCTAATTCAAAAATTTGCTATTATTACAAATAAGGAATAATTAAGGTTATTGGAATCAAAGTTGTTGGAATTCATTAATAGTTCGGTAACAGAAAAAAAGTTTTCCCAATGCCTAGGCATCACTGACTAATAACAAGAACAGCTCAAAAAACAGCTTGTTTAAACATTTGTTGGGTAAAACCAACATCCAAAAAATTAATGATTCCATCGTCATAACTCTAAATATGACAAAGATGAAAAATTTAAATTAAAAAATAAATGAAATAAATTATAAGGACATCTAAAAATTTCAGATTGAAAATCAGAAATTTAAAAATAGCTGTGTTCGGCACGAATAGGAATTATTAAATCACCGAAAATACCGAGAGAATATTGTATTATTTATTGTCAGCTAAATGCGACATCCAAAAAATTTTTAACGAAGACAACAAACCAACGGTAAAAAAACTTTAAAATAAACCATTAAAAGAAAAAAATAAATGAAATAAATGATAAGGAGTTAAGGATTTGATTGTCTTGCATAAGCATGACATTATTATAAATGACGTCATAAAAAATAAAGAATTTCGAATGAGAGTAACTACTGTTTCATAAATTTTTTTTTGTCGGCCCTATCCGACATACAAAAAAATAATTTAGCTCAGGGATAAAATGTTATAATCTCGTGCGCCGCATAAATTTAAATGAAAGCTTAAATAAAATAAAGCATACAGAGTATTTCAAAAAAAAACTCAAAAAATTTTAACAGGAAACAAATTTAATATTAAAATCAAATGCAAAAAAAATTATTTTTGTTCACATAAACAATAAATAAATAAAAATAAATAACAAAAAAAGTAATATTATTAAAATAAATAGCCATAGAGAACTGGAATAACAATAGACGCAGACAGGCTTTTTATGTCCACATACATACATTTATTTCTTCTTTTCAACTAAACAACTGGGACAGAAATAATATAATTCTCTAAAACTAGTATTTTGTGGAAATACAGAGACATTTTGCGGACATTAATCTCTTAGACATATGGACAGTGGACATAAGGCTAATTGACAATTGAAACACTACATAGGTAATTGACAAGAGGATAGGGCTCTGGTCTAGTTTATGCGTCCAATGAACTTCTATGAGTCCAATAAAAAAATAATTGGATTTTTCTTAGTATTGCAAAGTTGGGGTATGGTTCCAAAGCATTTCTTTATGTTCGGGACCTACGCCCAACCGATCTGGGACCATTATTTGCCCTATCCATCGAAATTTCGGAAGAAAAATCCAATTTTTTGTTGATTGGACTCATAAACTTTTCATTGGACGCATAAACTAGACCAGCGCCGAGGATAGACAATGAACGTTTCCTCTGCCCAGAAATTTCGATCTGGACAATCTTGAAAGAGTGATTGAGTATTGTTGTGTCCGCACTTGCAGAAAGAACATAAATGAATAAAAATAACCAAGCATCGGGTTGTATGGTGGCACAGTCGGTTGTGCTTCGGTCTGGGCTCATTCCAAGATGGTTCAATTCCATCTCCCATCCACAATTTTTCCACAGCATGAACTTGAATACAATAAGTATATTCTGTTTAACTATCTTGTCACTACCCATTTAGATGTGAGAAATATCAGAAATATAAATAAAATATTTTGAAATGCAATCACATTGGGAAAGATGTCGCTTAACCTCTCAGATCATTTGTATATTTTTTGGATGTCGCTTTTAAAGACGACAAAACATTTTTTCTTAAAAAAGTCTTTGACTGATCAATTCCTGTATATTTGGAATAGAATGTGTTAAAAAGATAATTCTTCCAAGGAAATTAATCTAGTAAAGACGATAGGCTGGGTTGGTACAAAATTCAAATTTTGATTAATATATATTTTATTAATTAAATTGTAAAATAATTAAAAATAAAAATTCTAAAAATCGTATTATAATATGGGCCAACGTAAATTTTTTGGATGTCGCTTCAAGCAGGCAAAAATTTAAATAGAAATGAGAAATATAATATGCAAAATTTGGACTAAAAAATTTCGCATGCAAGAGAATTTCTTTTTCCTTCATTTTCCTTCCATTTTCCCTTATGCATGGTATTCTTTTGGCACATGGAAGGAAGGTGCGCAAATACACTATTGAAGTATTAATATTTTCAAGAATAATATTCTTCAATCTTCAATACAAGATTGAAGCATTCTGAAACGGATTAAGATTTCGAATGGTTCGTCAGATGAGGCATTTTACTTCGGAAATCCTTAAGATCATTGGTCCCTACAAAAAATTAGTAAAAAATTCTCCTTGGGTATTTTTGAGGCTTGCCAGGAGGTAATCGAGTTTGCTGAGAGAAATTTTAAATAAATAGTTGATTATCGGAAAATAGAATGACTTGCTCTAATTGAATGACAAATTTTTGTGGTATTGAAAAATAGAATGACTATCATTCAATTAGAGCAAATACGGTAATTTAAAAATCACGGAAAATTTCAGTTTAAAAAATTTTAAATTAACGTATTTCCTCAATAGAGTACCCGAGATTCAAATTTTCAACCATCAACTCTCCTTAACCTGGCAGTGACTAACAGAATAACACAACGAAAAAATCATTTTTACATAAGAAAGACGAAGGAGAAACAGACTGACCAAATAATGATTGTTAAGTCTCAACAAGAAATCATTACTAGAACGTGCTTAACCAATTTTGCTGATTAAATCAGAATCCAAAAATAAATCGACATCTACAAAAAAAAGAAAAAGTGAAGGCATAACATCAAGATTATAAGAAGAACGCAAAATCAGAATATTAGAATCTGATATAAATGTCTATATTTTAAATTTAATATTTAACAGAACATGGGGTTAATTAAGCAATGAAATTTCATTTTAGCTTACTTGAAAACTAAGCTTGCTCGAAGACTTTAAAGATACGTTATTCCAGTACCTAACATACTAAAACAAAAATGGATGTTCACGGATCCGCAATTTAGGAATACAGAATTTCATAAATTGCGCAATTTGAGTGAATAGATAGGGTATCGTAGATTTTGGCTGGATTAAGTGAGTATCATAGGATTGCCGGGTTCAGTGATTAGAGGTCTTTTATGACTGGTCTATATTTTGCAAAATTTCGGTTTGAAATTTTTAAATTCAAAATTTGATTAATAATAATTTATCAAATTGCAAATTAAATAAAAATTATTAGAAATTTGTAATGCATGTTATTCTTGTTTTTTTTGAATTTTATTTTTTGCAAGTCGCTTATACGCAGACTAAAGTTGTTGAGAAATTTCAATTTAGAGGTTATTCTTCTTTCGATTTTTGATTGGGATTTATTGGCGATCTTTTCGATTTTCGAACTTTTACAAAAACTTGAATTTTTGGCTACAAAAAATGAAAATTCTGCCTTCGTAATATTTCTAAAAGAGTAAAAAAATGTTCCAAAATTCTCAAATCTCGATTTTGTATAATATAAAATTTATAAAATTTCGAATATAGTAAATAATTGAAAAAATTTCATTGTGTTGAGTATCATCCAACCCATCGCAAAGTATTTTTGAATGTCGCTTATCAGCAGACAAAAATTAACATAGAAAGTGAAAATAGATTTAGTAAGCAAAATTTCGGTTAAAAATTTTTTAAGAAATATTAAAAAATTAATTTTGAGATTAAAAAATACAAGTACTAGAGTCGGGATGCATCTCTTAGAAATTTGTAGTTAATATAAAATTTATTAATTAAATTTCAATTTAAATAAAAATAAAAATCTAAAAAAAATTTACAGTAGTATCCTGCAGTATATTTTTTAGAGATCGGCTGGAGGGGTCGGTCGATATTTTTCGATAAATAAAAAAAATATCGAAAAATATCGAAAAATATCGAAAAAATATCGTATCGAGCCGATCTCTAATATTTTTTGGATGTCGCTTTTAAAGCAGACAAACTGATATTATAAAAGGTGCAAAAATATTAGTATGCAAAATTTTAAGTAATAAAACTCATAAACTTTATTGGATAATTAATTGTAACAGAAACATAATTTTTGAAGTGATAACGATTAATTTGAAAAATTTAGACTATAATTCGGAATGGAGACCAGAGAGAGAGAGCCGTTCTTAAAAAATTAATTTTGAGATTATAAAACGGTAGTGCGAAACTTGCGGACCGACTTTTGCGGACCATAGGTTTAGGGTTTTGTTTTTCTATCGTAACTTTGTCCAAGCTTGTACAATCACGATGATTTTGATGTCATTCGACTCAGCTCGTCGAGCTCTTTCGAATGAGCTATGTTTTGATAATTTTTCGGTCCGCAAAAGTCGGTCCGCAAGTTTCGGCCTGCCTATAAAACAATTAAAATTGTAAGTCAAATCAATAAAAGTTAAAAATCCGCAAATTAATGCGGACATACCACAAATTTAATTTGTTTCTATTACATTCAGAAAAACACGTCTGCGCCCCGTCTGGCGGCCATATAAATAAACAAAAATGTGTAATATTTATTTTTTGCCTTCCGTCCAAAGAGACAGGCTTTGTAAAGGTGTATTAGAAGAATAATTATATAAAATGGTTGAAAGGACGCGCGAGGCCCAAATACCCCAGCAATGTTCCCAAACAAAAAAAAACCAGCTGAGAGCCAGACAACTTGTCTCTCTTTCCTCCAAACAAACATCAAAAAATAATAAAGCAAATTGACATTCTAGAAGGGAATTATTTTTGAACATGTTTATACGTGTAAAAATAAGCAAAAAAAGGGGCAGGTAGAAAAATTATTAAAAATTAGGGAAAAATTAAAAAATTATACCTAGAACATAAATGACACATAAAATGACAATTTTCTGTTTGTACACACAATACAAACGTCAGGATGAGTCGAATTACACCAAAATAGCCCTCGATCTCAACCATAGTCAAAGTGAATCTATGGGGGTGTATTTTTAGACCATTTACGAGCCCAGTACCATTTCAACACACATAACTAAATAAATTAGGTTGAAACATAAATAATGAGCTCCCATTTAGCTATCTCCAATTTAATTATTTTTTGGAAACCTTGATTAATATGTACATACATATATAATTTATTAAATTCTACTAATTATAAACTAATTTAAAAATCCAAAAATGTTGGTGTTGAGTTCAATGGATAGTTCATTATTTTTGGATGTCGCTACTAAGTCGACAAAAAATCTAGGTAATTCATTATATTATCCTTATTATTTTCAAAGCACCTAAAAATTAGAATAGAGAGATGGGAAAGTTGAGTGCGGCACGAGACATAATCCGGGCTTTTAAGTATAATAATAAACGGGATTCCAAGATTTACGGAATTAATCCTACGCGACCCATTCCATGTGACTTTTTAAAAATAACATGGAATAAGTTAGGGGATCCCGGGTTCGCGAGCTGCACTCTTTTAAAATTTACTAGTTTGCCTTGATTATTAAATATGGTTACCAGCACATTAGAATCTGTAAGCCTCTAAAGAAATGAGTTAACACAGCCGTCACGAGTAGAAAAAAAGTCGGGAAGAGAATCTGATCGAATTTTCGAAAATTTTCTTGAATCAAGTAATAGATCGAAGAATTTTTCGGATTACGGATAACCCGTGACTTTACAAAAATTGTCCCGGATTAAGTATCCGGATTTCAGATAACACTAGACATCCGGAGGCCGTGGTATCATTCAAGAGAAAAGTCACTTTATTAGATCACGTTGAGAAAATGTCAAAAACACAAATTAGATGAATCAAATATAATTTTTAAAACGGCCGCATTTTCTCAGTATACGTCGGAGGTTGATCAGACGACACTCCTCCACTGCCCATATTAATAGCAACATCCCATTCATTAAAAACAAAGAGGCGGACATTTTCTTCTACTTCAATAGGATAGCCTTTGCGTCCACGAACCCAAACCTTTCAAATAAAAATTGCTATTTTCGAGACAAGGTAAAAGTAAAATTATTCAAAAAATAGGGCAGATGTCATAAAAGCAGGGTGCCCCATGGCAACCCAAATTTTAGAAGAAATATCTGGATCAGGGTGTCCCTTTCCAAATCACCAAAAAAGGGGCATGGCTCCTCAAAAAGGAGCAAAAATGAGGCAAAATCGTTGAAAGATGGGGCAAAAAAGGGGCGCGATGAAGAAAAAAGGGCGAGACGGTCAAAAAGGGGAAAATTCCCCTAAAAAGAGGTAAAAGCGACACCCTGATCTGGATGCATTTTATAGTGAGGTCAGCCTCGTTTAAATTTATTTTTGCATAAAATCACCTCATCTCCCACTCTAAGATGGCCAGTTTGCATTGTCCCACTTTGATTATAAAACTGTGACGTTGAGGCTACACGAACAACTCTCCCCTGGAATAACGAGAAAGTAATATTATTAGGGCAGATATTGCAGCAATTAAAGAAAAAATGCATTTTAGTTACCTCAAAGGGTTAACTAAGGCTATGTTTTAGCGAGATAATTTGCCTATGCTACAGCATGGCATCCAAAAAATAGTACGAGAGCTTCGCAAAGTACATCCCACATGTACGTATGTTAATTTCATTTTTACTTTAATAAAATGAAGAATAAAAACGCCGATATTTTTTGTTTAGTTAAAAGTAAGGTTGGCGGTTCCTAAGGACCTAAGGAATCTCCGGATATCCGGGTCGGTATGAAAAAAGTGGGTGGGGGAACCTGTTAAAATTACCGTGTTCTCTTAAATAGAACTTTCAGTTAAGGGTTAAACCTTATTCAAAAATCCTCTTTTTTTGGTGTACGGAATTTTCGTCTCTGGAACATTCGTCTCCAAGACTTTTCGGAACTTTCGTCTCCAACATTTTCGGAATTTTCGTCTCCAGCGGAATATTCGTCACCAAGAAAATAAACGGAATTTTCGTCTCCGCAATTTTCGTCTCCGCTAGGAATTTTCGTCTCCAGAGGAAAACTTTCCCCGTTGACGGGCAACTTCCCCCGTTGCCGGAACAACATCCCCGTTGACGGAACACTTTCCCCCGCTGACGGGCAACTTCCCCCGTTGCCGGAACAACATCCCCGTTGACGGAACACTATCCCCCGCTGACGGGCAACTTCCCCCGTTGCCGGAACAACATCCCCGTTGACGGAACACTATCCCCGCTGACGGGCAACTTCCCCCGTTGCCGGAACAACATCCCCGTTGACGGAAACTTTCCCCCGCTGACGGGCAACTTCCCCCGTTGTTCCCCCGTTGCCGGAACAACATCCCCGTTGACGGAACACTTTCCCCCGCTGACGGGCAACTTCCCCCGTTGCCGGAACAACATCCCCGTTGACGGAACACTATCCCCCGCTGACGGGCAACTTCCCCCGTTGCCGGAACAACATCCCCGTTGACGGAACACTATCCCCCGCTGACGGGCAACTTCCCCCGTTGCCGGAACAACATCCCCGTTGACGGAACACTATCCCCCGCTGACGGGCAACTTCCCCCGTTGCCGGAACAACATCCCCGTTGACGGAACACTATCCCCCGCTGACGGGCAACTTCCCCCGTTAACGGAACACTATCCCCCGTTGACGGAACAACTTTCCCCGTTAACGGAAAACTATCCCCCGCTGACGGGGATGTTGTTCCGGCAACGGGGGAAATTGTTCCGTCAGCGGTGGATAGTGTTCCGTCAACGGGGATGTTGTTCCGGCAACGGGGGAAGTTTTCCTCTGGAGACGAAAATTCCTAGCGGAGACGAAAATTGCGGAGACGAAAATTCCGTTTATTTTCTTGGTGACGAATATTCCGCTGGAGACGAAAATTCCGAAAAAGTTGGAGACGAAAGTTCCGAAAAGTCTTGGAGACGAATGTTCCAGAGACGAAAATTCCGGCACTCCTTTTTTTTGCAAACAGCTTCGGAAATTTCCCATCCGAAAATTTCTGATAACAGGCTTTTTTCAGTTCCCGATACCTTAGTTAAGATAAGAGCTGGGCAAAATTTCGTCTTATGGACGAAAATAAATAACTATATGTAAAAAGAGGAAGAAAACGGCCGTGAAGGTAAAGGAAAAGAGAAGAGATTTTAGTATTACAAAAGGTTAACTAAATCCATGTTTTAGCAATATAATTTGCCTATGCTTTGGCATGGCATCCAAAAAATAAACGTCCAACATACTCACGACTCTTTATATGTTAATTTCATTTAGACTTTAATAAAGTGAATAATAAAAACGTTGCTATTTTTTGTTTAGTTAAAAGATTTCCTGAAAAAACTCCGGATATCAGGGTCGGTATACAAAAAGCGAGTAGGAGAACATGGTAAAATTAACAGCTTCTAGTCGAGTAATAGTACTCACAATTGACCTTGCTGCGTTTTTTGCATACCGCCCCGGAAATTTCCTAACCAAAATTTCTGATAACAGGGCTTTTATCGGTTCCTGATACCTTAGTTAAGATAAGAGTTAAGATAGCCTTAGCCAAGAACAGAGCTGAACGAAAATTTCGTTTTATGGACGAAAATAAATGCCTATATGTAAAAAGAGGAATAAAACGGCCATTAAGTAAAGGAAAAGAGGAGATTTTAGTTAACCCAAAGGGTTAACTAAATCCATGTTTTAGCGATATAATTTGCCTATGACTTAGCAAGGCATCCAAAAAATAACCGTGTCCCATTCCTCAAGACCCTTCTATGTTGATTTCATTTATACTTTAATAAAGTGCATAATAAAAACGTTGATATTTTAAAGTTTAAGATAATGATGGTAGTTCCCCGGAAATCTCCGGATATCCGGCTCTGAATGCAAAAAAGTGAGTAGGAGAACCTGATACCGAAATAGCGAGATAACTCACCCGAATGAGATGGTCCCATTTAGCGACTTCACCAGTGTCTCTACTACGAGCCTCAATTTTATATTTTTTGTCAATTTCAATGAGAACATTTCCGGGCACCAAATTAATTTCGTTGAATGGGATTCTTACAATGGAATTACCCATAATTAAATCTGAAAATTAAAAAATGAAACAAAACAAGATTATTATGGGAGGTCTTGGGCTTTAAAGCTCGTTTTTAGGTAGCAATTGGGGTAATTTAAAACTAGCTTTAAGCAAGGGAAGTTATCGAGAAAATGTCAAGTGTAAGTACAAACAAATCTACAAAAATCATTTCAAAAATTTTTTTGGCTATGAAGGCGCCACTAAATTCACTTTTAAGCGCCGCAGGCGAAAATTTAAAGAATTCTAAGGTTATATTCAATTTTTAAACAAAAAGTCCATCATTTGTAAGATCATACATACAAATAAGTAAATTTTCTATTTTGTAAGTACGAAGGATGATTTGTAAGTACAGTACTTCCAAAATTAGTATGGATAAGATGCCTTTTCAAGCGATATGATTTGCCTAATGCTATAGCATGGCATCCAAAAAATAAGATTGCGAAATTCCATCATACCATGTATATGAGTAATATAATTTGTACGTAAGAAATGTGAAAAATAGAAACATTGATTATGAGTAGGGACAGCCAAAACATGCAAACTTCGGAGTTAGAGTCCCTTTCCTTTTTTCTTCCCAACATGAGGGAAATAAATGAAGAAGAAAATAAATGCCTGAGGATACAACAATATAAATGAGAGGAAAAGGAAAGGGACTCTAACTCCGAACTTTGCATGTTTTGGCTGTCCCTAATTATGAGCAATTGTATTCTTACCCCGGAAAAGGTACCAGGAAAGAAGAAAATATGTATTTTTGTTGATGTGACAATATCCCCCGTTGTCTTAAGAGAATTTTCCCATTGGTGAACAACCTTTTTTATTTGGACGGTATTTTGTTCGACAGTGGTCTGTCCCTAAAGCTACTTTGTCAGGACGGTGTTTTGGCCTAACGTGTAATTGACAAATTAAAAAATAAAATTTTGGGTGTTCAAAGTTGCGATGTTAAAAAAAATAAAGGTTCAAATAAAAAGATAAGGAAGGAACATCAAAATTGAAGACAAAACAAACAAGTTTAAAAATATTTTTTTAAATTTAAAAGTGAAAGAATGACGTGTTTATTTTAAAACAAATGGGGAGTTTTTATAAACACAGCACTATTAGTTAAAAATAAAATCAATATTTGGTTGACAATGAAAAGGTGTTGGGGTGAGAACCTCATTTAAAGGCATTTCAGTATTTTACAGAACTTTTCTATCGTTATCGGTGGACCAAATTTCTCATTTTTGATACCAAAAATTTTCTTAGTTGTGAATAAAATAAAAAAAGAATTATCAATTTTTGTTAAGATTAAAGAAAGCAAAACAAAACGTACGCCTTTTTGCCGCACCCTGTACTTGTTATATTCTAATTAATTAATATCAGAATAAATATTGCTTGAAAAGCCCTGCTTTTTAGAAATGTTTCGCCGTGTGACTTTGTTATTTTTTGGATGTCGCCACTTGAGCAGACAAAAATTCAATCATATCTGTTAAATTAAGGACAAAAATCTGAGCCTAAAATTAGAATGTTATTCACAATTTATTATTTTAACCTTATTAAGTTGTTTAGTTGGCAGTGCGAAACTTGCGGACCGACTTTTGCGGACCATTGGTTTAGGTTTTTGTTTTTCTAGCGTAACTTTGTCCAAGCTTGTACAATCACGATGATTTTGATGTCATTCGCTCAGCTCGTCGAGCTCTTTCGAATGAGCTATGTTTTGAGAAATTCGTCGGATCCGCAAGTTTCGGCCTGCCAATTTAAAGCTAGCTTAAAGCCAGTGATATTATCAAGAAAATGTCAAATATAATAAGACGCCACATAAAAATAAGCAAAAAATCTTTCAAAAATACTACTCGAGGAAATACAGTATTTAATTTTTCCCCAAAAAGTCATTTGCCAAATGCTCAAGCATGGCATCCAAAAAATAAGAGCAGAGAACCCCGCTACACCGTATATGTGTGATATCATTTTAACTTTAGAAAAGTGAAGAATAGAAAAGTTAATTATGAGTAGGATGCCGCAGGCTTTTCAGCGCCGTAGGCGAAAATTCTAAAATTTTAAGGTTATATTTAATTTTTAACCAAAAAGTTCGGTTATAATGCCTACCTAAAAATAAGTAAATTTTCAATTATTTAAATGAAGGACGATTTTACAAAATTAGTATGGATAAGATGCCTGTTTTAAGCGATATGATTTGCCTAATGCTCTAGCATGGCATCCAAAAAATAAGATTACGAGAACCCAACACCCGTAATTGTGTAATATAGTTTTAATTTAATAAACGTGAAGAATAGAAAAGTTGATTATGAGTAATTGTTTTCCAATTCTAGAGAAAATACCAGAGAAAATACCGAAACCCGTACCCGAAGATTTTTTGTACCCGTGGTAACCCTGCTATAGATGACGGAATTTTCTTTACTCCGTTATTAATAATTCAAATAAGGAAAATATTAAATTTTATGAAAATAATTTAGTTGAGGCACTCCCGCATAGTAACCTTTTATTTTTGTATGGGGGTTTAAACCCTCAAAAATTTTTTCTAAAGATTCAGAGAGATAACAAAGAATTCATGGAATAGTACAGATATCCCAAGTGATAAAAAATTTGCCCCATTGTCGGATTAACCTCACATAAATTGGAACCAGTGCTTCGAAATTTCAAATTTGCTCGTACTCGTACTTCGTACCACCTCTTTTTTTGCCTCGTACTCGTATTAAGTTGTTTAGTTGTAGTTTGTGTGTTTTTTTGAACTAGCTGATTAGACGACTAAAAATTGCGCCTTTACAACTATCAATTTACTTCATTTAATTTAATTAATTAATTTGAGTTTAAATATCACTGGAAAATTTACTTGTTTCGGTCATGCTGTAGATCCTCGAGACACTTGTTAATTTTTGGATGTCTCATTTAAGTAGACAGAAAATCAAAATTGTGTTGAATTAAAATGATAAGTTTTTTATTTTAATTATTCCCAGACAAAAATTCTGAAATTTTCAAGAACCTAAGAAGCCAGATATCTTGGAGGGTATCAAAAGAACAATCTAATCAAAGTTGTCTCTTGATAATGAATTATATTTAATTAATTTAAGTGTAAATTAATTAAATAGATTTATTATTAATAAATAATAAACAGAAATTAAATAAATATTTTATTCAATAAAACAATTACAAAAATATTTAAAAGGGATAAAGTTTTTCAATAAAAAGAATTAAGTGAATAAAGTGACAAAGAATGAAAGAAAAGCTAATCTAAAATATAACTGAGAGTAATCCATCTTTGACCCCCAACGGTCTTATGTTCTTTTTACTACCATTTTCTTTCATCTCTATTTATCTTTTTCTCATCTCTAGTTTCTATGACTTCCACTTTCGATAGAGGGTGATAAGCCAGAAATCCATCGTCTGAATCTAGAACCAAACAAATATTGTCGTCTTTCGGTTTCAAAAGCAACCCTATTAACTAGCTTCGGTGGGTTGTCCGCTTCTGTGGGTTGTCCGAAATTTGTCAAAGTTTACATGCATAAATACAACCGTTTATCCAAGTTAAAAAGTTCAAATGAAGGTTGAGGTTTGAATTAAGTTTTGATCACACGGAGGGGATGCGGGTCTATCGAGATTAGAATGATCCAACTAGTTTACTTTTATAATTTACACCAATACACAAAACTAAAAAACAGGGAAAGGAAAACACTTTATTAAAACACATTGGGAAACGTCAAAAACAAAAATTTGATGAATCAAATAAATTATTTAATATGGCATCATTTTCTCAGTGTATGTTGGAGGTTGATCAGACGACAATCCTCCATTGCCCAAATTAATAGCAACATCCCATTCATTAAAAATTGAGGCGAACATTTTCTTCGACCTCAATAGGATATCCTTTACGTCCACGAACCCAAACCTTTAATGAAAATATTATTTGGAGTATTTTATATTGAGTAGAATGGACTTTCGGTATCAAAAATTGACTTTCGGTATCAGTACTATTATTTGGCAACCGAAAGGTGCTGAACACTATTAGTGAGTCACTGTTTTAAAATTATTTTTGTATAAAACTACCTCGTCTCCCACTCTAAGATGACCAATTAACATTGTTCCACTTTGGTTATAAAACGGTGACACTTCAGCTACACGAACAACTCTTCCCTAAAATAACGTGTAGGATAACAGTAATTATTTATTCACCCGAATGAGACAGTCCGAACTAGACATATCGCCAGTGTCTCTGCTGCGAGCATCAAATTTATATTTTTTGTCAATTTCAATGAGAACATTTCCGGGCACCAAATTAATTTCGTTGAAAGGAATTTTTGTCATAGAATTACCCATAATTATTAATTTAAAAATCAGGCCACGGCCAAAACTTCTCTAAAAGTTTTTGGAGTTTAATACTGGAATGATTTACTAAAAATAACAGTTAAAATAAAGATAAGAAAAAATAGGCCAAAAATTAAGACAAAACAAACAAATTTGAAGTATTTTAAAATTTTTTTTTCAAATTTAAAGTAGAAGGATGACGTGTCTAATTTCAAAACAAATGGAGGTTTTATGTGTAAATAAAGAGATGTATGAAAAAAATCCAATATTTATTCGAAAAGAAATAAACACACAAGTGGAAAACTTCTTTTAGTCATTATTAGTGTTGTTTCCAGACGGGGAAGGAGAGAGAAGGGGGGGGGGGGGTGGGGAGAGGAGGCGGGGAAATTTAAAAGTCTCCCCGGCTTTCGGCAACGCGGTGCAATCCAAGAAATTATGTTATTTTTGAACTTTTCTTCTCCATTTTTTCTTTATCTGCTCTGTTTGCCTCATTTACCTGTTTACTTGATATAATTTATTTAATTAATTTAAGTTTGAATATTTTTTGAAAATGTTCTACTTGTTAATTACCGATTTAACATGTTATTTTTGGATGTCTCATTTAAGCAGACAGAAAGTCAATCATTTTATTGAACACAGCAACTTAACCTGTAACCAAGAGCCGTCTCAGTGGCACTGAAATAAATAAAAATACTTTCTATTTTTCTATTTCGCTCTATTTTTTAGCGCGCTACTTCTCTAAAAATTTGATGTCCAATTCGAAAAGCTTTATTTGATTAAACGCATAATTGATTGAACGCGTTCCTTTGATTCGACGCATAAAAGTTCATGGACGCATAAACTAGACTAGCGCCGAATTTTCTTTTTTGTAAGAATAATCTGTATTTTATATTTTATTCTATTTGCTTCTAATTAATTCAAGTTATTCGATGGCTAAAAATTATTATAGACTATCTGCACTTCAATATTTTTTAAATCATATATCGGCAATTATTGTAATTTATTTTAATTTTTTTTCACAATGCCTAGTAGAAGAAGGTAATATTTTAAAAACTACTTTAAAATATATAAAATTAAATGCCATTAAAATAAATAAGACGGCAAAATAAAAAGGGAAAATTTTAATGCCCTTTTAATGTACTTTATTTTTGTCTTACCGCCGAATCAATAGTCAATTAAAAATAATAAGGTGAAGGGAGGAGGAGAGACGCTATTTACAATTTTCGGCAATCTTTATAAAAAAAATTTTTACTTTCGTATAGGCTAGACTGTCTATTATTTTATACATATTTGTACTTTTTTCATTTTCATTTAACGGTATTTAAACTCACTTATTCAATTTCAATTATTAGCATTACAATGCTAAAATTTTACATATTAATTTATTTAATATTATTGTTCAAAGTATCTGAAGTAAATTCAGGAAGTAAGAAGTTAATAAATATGTATAAGAAAAATTATACTCTTTTTCTAAAATTCTCAAAAAAATTCTGACAGAGTCCGAAGCCATTCCGTTTTTAACGATTGTCATTTGATGTTAAAGATACTTTGTAGATTAGGCTTCTGATTTTGTGTGAGATGTTATCACAGTGGCTCATTCCGTGATGGTCACATTCCATCTCTTAGATATCTTCCACATCATGGATTTAATTATTATTTGAAAACAAAATTTATAGTTTAACATTTTATAGGGTTTATTATTAAAACTCGAAGTAGGATTACAAATATTTTAGCATAAATCTATACTAAAAAATTGTAAATTTTGTGCCAAATTTCAACTAATTTTTTAATTCTTAATATTTAAGATTGCTGTATTCGACTTCGGGGATCGCAACACCCTGAATCCTATATTACTGAACACGCTGTAATCGAAGAAATTGAACAGGGAAATGAAGAAGCAGAACTAAACGAAGATGCTGGATTTTCTGCTGAGTTAGATAAATATTATGAAACACACCCGGAAACGTTTAAAGGCGAGAAAGAAACCGCGAAAGAGCTTCACAAAAGAATGGGAGAGGCCGGACCTTCAACAATAATTCAGCCTACTAGAGGTGTTTTTAGTATTATACAACTCCAAAATTTATTTTTTCGTTTTACAGCTAGGGATCTTCGGATCAGGGCTGTACGCCAAAATTTTCGCATGGCGCGCCAAACGCCAAAGCCAATTTTTCAAATTCTTAAAACACGCCAAAACGCCAAAATCGGCCAAAAATGGATGCCAAACGCCAAGCCAAAACGCCATGGCGCAAAGCCCTGTTCCGGATTCAGAAATTATGGGAAATTACTAACCAAGTTTAATTAATTTTATAGTAATCGCTCCAGATGAATCGCAAACAATTAAATTTGTTGATGCAATTATGCGAGCCTTTGATACTATTACGGAAGTAAACACGGTTCGTATTTTTAATTTTTCCATGATAAAAGATGATATTTCTATATGATGTTTTGCGATTCAGACAATTGTGCATCTTGATGTTTTTTGTGATTTTTTTCGCCGAGGGCGAAAATAAAAATTCTAGCGTGAAAACGAATATAATATATGTAGTTATTAATTTACGAAACAAAATCATACGAAAATGACAGTAAATAAAATTTTAAACATAAACGAAGCAAAAAACTTAAAAATCTTCAAAAATCAAGTAAAATATACGAAACTAAAATTTGCGCCCAGCTCTGATCCAGAGTATGGGTGTTCGTTATATTTTTGCATATTTTTGTCAGTTTTGACATTTTGAGCTATTTGATTCAGACATACATATGTTCCATTATTCGGAAGTGATATAAAAATATAATTGCAACGTAATTTCTCAATGTTCTATGAATTCATAAATATTATGACTTTAATTTTTAAATAAATATATAATTAAGGATCCAATACTTCTATTGAAAGAAGCTAAGGATATTCTGGACCAAATATTATCAAAAATAAATATTGTATGTATGACAGATCAACGATCTACGCCGTTTTTTGCCGCTATTGCCAGCGTATCAACAAAACATTGTAATGCTTTGTTACAGAGGGGAATTAGCCCGACAATTAGCAGTAGGACAATGAATGCAGTATTTGCGCCTGAGGATTCTTTTAATCATTATGGAGCTGGACGAAGCGAAATAGTCGTAGAAACGGATGAAGATGATCTGATTTCTGATATTCAAAACCGGGAAAAGATAATAAATGTCTGTCAAATTGGAGTATATTTGGCTATGTGCAATTTAATATTAGATATTAAAATTAAAAATAAAAAAGTTGACCAAAAAATAAAGGAAGAATTTGTTAATAAAATGGTAAATTATAGAAATTCTTTTAATAATTAACTTTAAAATTTTAAAAGAAATCCCTTTCAAAGTATAACTATGCCTGGAATGAAGCCGTCGAAATTATACAAGGAAATGAATATGAGCTCATGGTACGTAGTTTCATCCGTTTGCCTTTTACTGCACTTTCCGATAGAAACTGAAGGGTGGGAGGGGGAGGGTTCCTCAAAATACAAGGATTTCCTTTGATTCCAAAGTTTGGAAGAGTGCTCCGTAAGACTCCAAATACTACTTGACCCTTCAGACAAAAGCCACTTAAATTATTTTTAAAGCAACATGGACGTTTGGGTGATATGAACCTGAAGTATTTACAAGACGTTATAAAGAATGGATTGAAAAAACCGAAAATGAAAAAGAAGAAAAATTTTAATTAATTATTTTAATGTGATGGCCTAAATACGGCACAAGTCTAAATACATACTCTTTAGTTATTAACTGGTTTATCTATCCCTTTCAAATCTAAACGGTTTTAATTGTATCTTCCTCTTCTAGTTATTTAAACATTAATTAAATACATTCTTTCACTTTCATATATTTCTACTCTTTAATATTCTAATTGTAGTTCCAAATATTAAATTATAAAAATTGTTTGGTAGATTTAAATATAAAAACATCATTTTGTAGAATATTTGTAGATTCTTATTAACACTATTAAATTCACAATTTAATTGTTTTTGTCTTAGCCAGTTAAATGACTTTTCCTAACTTCAAATTATATTCTGATCCGATATCCTTATATATAAGTTTCTTCAAGTTAATAAACATCGAATTGTTTAACTCTTAAATTTAAGCTTGAAACTATTATTATTATCCTCCATCAACCCTACTATGAAAAGATGTATTCATTAATGATATTTTAAAAAGCCTATAATTGCCTATCCTATATATGCTTCGTAAAAAAACAACTCGACTCGAAAATGACGTCACTATTTCGATTTCATTTGTCAAATTTTAAAATTAGGTAATTATTAATTAAAAATCAACATATTTATTTCCATTTAAATATCAGTTAAATTTAACAACTACTAGACAGATTAATCTTTTTTATACACTTTTTAAAACTTCTACCCTTTCGACTTTCCGCATTGTTTCGTAATATATTTATCAATTTTTTTGTTTCCGCATTGTCCATCATAGCCAGGGTCAAAATTCTAAAAATTTTTAGAATTAGAACTTTTAGACACAGAAACCCATTTTGTGGCATATGCTGCGCTTCATGCGCCTTACGCATTTTTTATATTATCTTAGCCTCACACCACCGGCTAGCCTATCTCAACTCAGGCATTTTTTTAAATTTCTCAAAGGGTCTTCTCCTTTTTCTCTCCACAGTGACAGAATGTCAGATCATCACAGCATGTAAGGTTCGCTGAAATTTCCTCGGCCTGTGCGACCGTGCCATTTGTCATTTCCGATGTGCATGCTGTGGAAACTTGTTTGGATGGGAGATGGAATTGAACCATCATGGAAAGAGCCCAGACCGAAGCACAACCGACTGTGCCACCAACCCAATGCTGGGTTATTTATTTTCATTTATATTCTCTCTGCAAGTGCGGACACAACACAAATGTTAAATATAACTATGTTTTACAATTTTTCTTTCCTAAGTGTTAGGTAAAGTCGAAATTAGTCTTTAGTTTATTTAAAGATATTCATAATTTTATATTTGTTGAGGAAATATCTGATTTGTTAAAAACTGGATGGAATACACATAATAGGCCTTACAAAAATTTAACTATAATATTTATCAAGTTCAACAAATTACCTGTCCTAAACACAGGCATTGTTTTTTTCGACAAACAGCGCTGAAAATTTCCATATTTAATTCAAAAATAAAAAAAACATACTCCTTGCCACATTTAGTTATATTTTTGCAAATTACTCCGAGATCTTGCGAACATGTTTCATCTCCAAAGCATTCATTTATCAATAAACAGATTGCAAAAATAAAGAAAATTGTAGTTTTATTAGACATTTTGTACTGGTTTATAAAAATTATTTTTTTATGGTTTTACAAGTTTGGTTATATGAAGCTTAAATAAACGTAAGGACTATCGTTAGATGACAAAATAGAGACCGAACTAGAGTTTTAAGTTAATCATCCGGGATATCTCGAAAAATATCGTCCCGATCTCTTCTCCCCGCCTATCTGTATTTTTTAATATAATCATAGCATAGATTTGTAATCAGTCAAGAAAATAGATGGTATTCTTTTTTTGCTCGATAGGTGGTTCTGAATGAGTGAATAATAAGCGGTGAATAATGTTCGGCCAGGCTAAATATAATAACCATTATTATTCCCTTAATTTCCTCAAATTCTAGACATATGGCCCTAGTCTATAAAGAATTGTTTAAGAATTCAATTTAGTATTAAATTATACTTAAGCATATACATATTGCCATTTTACTCGACTATTTATAGGAGAAATTTACCACATTGCAGCTTTTTAAATATAAAAGCCAACGTTACTAAAACTTTAAATTATTAATGAAATTGCGGAGCAGTTCAACTGAGTCCGCACGATTGAGTCCCCACGATTGAGTCCGCACGATTGAGTCCCCACGATTGAGTCCCGGCACAATTGAGTCCCCACGATTGAGTCCGCACGATTGAGTCCCCGTTGTATATACCTCAATTGAGTACCCGTGGATTTAATTTTAAAAATTCCATATCCTGCATTAGAGATCGGCAAAATCGCATTTCCGGAATCCCGTAACGGGATTGAGTTTGAAAATATCGAACGGGAGGGATCCCGCGGGATTAATCCCGGAGTCCCGGTAATCCCGTTCTCAAATTTACCGGGATCCCGCGGGATTCCGGGATTTTAATTTAAAAAATTTTTTAATTATAAATATGTTGAATATCGTCGGATTTGGAAATAATATTGGTGGATTTCGACAGATTAAGGGAGGAATTAATAGATAACAGAGGATTAAGAGGGATATCAGTGGATTAAGAGAGATTAAGAGCATTTTAATGCTTATAGGTGGATTTAGGAGGATATCGGTAAATATTTGGAGAGATAAAGGGTGATTTGAAGAACGGTGAGTTAAGGTCAAAATAGCGGATTTAGATGGCTCAACTAGATTTGAATATGTGGGTAATTCCCCTAATCCCTTAATATACTCTTAATCCCCAATCCATTATATACCTCTTAATCCATAACTCCCTGACAACCCTATTTTTCTCCAAATCCCTCTTAATAATCGTAATCCATGCACCACATGCAAAGCTTTTCGAATTTTGAAAGGAGAAGCCAATGGAAGGCTAAGAAGGAAGGCTAAGAAGCCAGCTTATGGAAGGCTAAGAAGCCAGCTTTCTTCCATTTTAGTGTATTTTGGAAGCCCAGGTCACTAGATTTTTCATATTTTAGCGCCGCAGGCGAAAATTTTGAGAATTTTGGAAGGCCAGGAAGCCAGATTTCTTCCTTTTTCAACGCCGCAGGCAGTTTAATGGGGTAATTATAAATTCCGTAAATTTTAAAAAAATTCCCGAGATCCCGTAACGGGATTGAGAGAGACCAATATCCATCTTGATACCTCGATGTCGCATACAAGTCCCCTGATATTAACATTAATCCCTCCAAATCCCCAAATATCCCTCTTAATCTTTTTTAATATAATTAAATCTAGGGGACTCAATTGAGGTATATACAACGGGGACTCAATCGTGCGGACTCAATCGTGGGGACTCAATTGTGCCGGGACTCAATCGTGGGGACTCAATCGTGCGGACTCAATCGTGGGGACTCAATCGTGCGGACTCAATTGAGGTGTACCGATGAAATTGATGAACTTTCGCGGGGTTTCAAAATTTAAACATAAAAAAATTAAATATTATAAAATCAAGTCTAGACAATATAATGTACTTTCTAAACTTTTATTTGAATAAGGAAAAAAATTTTTAATTTGATGTTTAGAGCTAGGATTTTAAGGCAAATGCCTGTTTTTTCCATGAAAGGAAAATGTCCAAGTACCAACGAAAAAAATGTCCAAGTACCGACGAAAGAATAACGAGATAATACATTAACGCAAAGCTTGATTTATCGCGATAATAATATATCCATACAATAGCTGCGTCCAAAAGAACATGGCTTAGCTCCGAACATGTTGTTGGAGGTGAAAGTCCAGCTCGCTATCTATATGTCTAAAAAGGCATGTATTTTTTGCTTATTCTATGCAACAATACAATAGGCTACAACATAACAGAAACACTATTCTAACAAAAGACTAACTCTTGACTACTAAAAGGCTGCGCTTTGTATACTAAACACTCCACCCTAACAAGTAAAAGTGAATAATATTTAATACCTTAATTTAATGCGGTTCTCAACATTCATAAAAAATATTTCATTAAAAATAAAATTTTCAATTAAATTCAAGATAAATTTTATCTAAATTTAAATAAAAAAATAATTTTACATAACATAAAAAATTATTTTAAACTCGTAAAAACTTATTTACCGTTTATGCTTTAAGAATAATACAGGGTAGTTATTGTTTCAATCTCACACTAAGACAGATAATTTATAGAGAAGGTACGGTTTATAAGTATAGAGAAGGGGTATTTATTTCAGCATACACGGTAAATATCATTAAATATGTAAAACCTCACTATATGATATGAATATTTTGTTTTTCTGGTGAGATATCTAAACATTAACTTTATTACAAAGCGCTCCATTTTACAAGGTACGGTTTATAAGTTCAAAATCATATCTTATAGAGAGATATAAGCGGTTAAGGACGATTCAGTATCGCCGATTCAGTATCCGCCGATTCAGTATATTGCCATAACTTTCCTGATATTCGACCGATTTGAATAATTCTAATATCATTCGAAAGGTCTCATAATCCGGCATCTTTTTCATAATTGGCCCGATCAGATCTGATGATCACAAAAAAAGTTACAGCGTCAAAACCGATTTTTTATGCCTGTGACGTCGTTTATCAGTGATAACTTTTTCTAGAGTGATAAGATCAGGTCAGTCCAATTATGAAAAAGATGCAGCACCCCGAGACCTATCAAATCATATATAATAATTCCTACAATATTGATCGGGCAAAAAGTTATGGCCAAAAAGCCCAAATACTGAATCGGCCAATACTGAATCGGTGATACTGAATTGGCGATACTGAATCGTCC